AAAACTTGAAATTGAAAGGCACTTTATGAAAATATTTTTCATCATTTGTAATTTTCGCTATAGAAAAGAAACAGGAAAAAATTTAGTAAAATCAAAAATCTTATTTTTAAGTGATATCACCCAGCCCAACTTTTAATACATCTGAGAGGACTCTAAATTATTTTAGTGTATGTTAGGTTTGGATTTTTCTGATGGCACAGTTTTTTTTGTAACTCGTTGCTTCTGGTTTTATTACACAGAAAAACATTTAAACTTTCAGGAAGAAGTGGTGATATCAGAACACATTTCTTCTTGTTTTATCTTCATGCGTAACTGGATCTTATGACTAAATTTGGCACAGTCAGCTGTTAGAAGTTAAAACATAATGAACAATCAGAGTCATGCTGAAACATCAGTGCAGTTTTTGATCGATCACTTCCTGTCTCTGTTCTTCAGTGGCCTTACTCCTCATCATTTTGTTGGTTCTTCGTCGACGCCGGGACTCTGACGGAGAGCTGGCAGTCGCCCGGGCTCCTTTACTACGCAAAGAGCGACCTCAGGGTCGGTATTACGGCCTGCCCTGCGACACGGAACCAGTCTATGCCGGCTGGTGAACACTTTCCAAACTGAACTGTAACTTCAAAGGTGACCTATTATGCTTCCTTAAACATATTAGGACAGTTTTATGGGCTACACAAAACATGTTCATTATAGTTTTTACATAAAATCTTTCTCACATAATGACATTTTAGTCTAAGTTCTGCCTATTTTGAGCTGTTTTAGGTCCTTTTGTCACTTCCAAATAAGCTCAACATTTGCAGTCATATATAAAAATGCCTGCAAACATATTCGCAATTATACAACCGTACCTCTTTGAAAAGCGATGGTACAGCCTCCCGCACAACCATCAAGAAGCCAGAAAGTAGTTACATGATGGTAACAACAAAAGAATGTCTTTTTCAGCAGCGATTGTACAGCGCATGCAGCAGTAAAACCAGTTGATCAGAAGTTACCTGATTGCTAGGTAACGGTGCAGCATCCTTTATGAATAAAGAAATTGGATGTTTTTGAAATGGCTAATTTTCCAGACACAGCTAGATGTTTTTTGTTTTTTATTTTTATTTTTTTTAAAGTGCTTGGACTGTTTTAAGAAGTTGAGATCCAAGTCAAAGAGCAAATGTGAATTTTGAATAATAGGTCCCCTTTAAAGTTCTGAACTGGTGCCTGAAAACAAATTAATTACCTAAAATGAGAGCGACAAACAAAGGTGAGTAATTCTGGGATTTGTGATGTCATCTTTTGCAAACTGTTTAACTGAGAACAGCCTCTTAAAGTACTTTAATGTTGAAGAATTGGAGTTTTACTTTAAAATGTGGTGGAAACCATGTTTTTCTTTTATTACGGAAAGGACTTTTTACACAGTTCCGTTTCATTGTTGGAGAATAATAAAGGCATGGTTCACTTCAGTTAAATTTATCCCACATCCAGCTGTTTGGATGTATTCAGTGTGCTGTAAAAATTTTTTTGTATCTTTATATTTGGCTTGTTTTTTCTTTTGAAAACTTATTTGCTGATTGCTGTTTATTTGCTTATTTTGATGTATATTATATTGGATGTTTCATTTGTGGGTTTTAAAAGTAAAATAAATAAAACATTAATTTGATTTTTATCTGTTCTCAGTCTAGAAATTCTGACTTTTTGCACACATATTGAACCAACACAGAACATGGTTTTCTGGAAAAAGTCAGAACAACAGAAATACTGCAGGTTCAAGATGAAAATATATTCTGCTATCTGAATAACCCATAAACACTTCTGTCACAATATATATATAGTTAATCCCACAGCACTGACCTCTTACCCTCTGAGGAAGCAGATCTAAATATTCATCCAAACACTGTGACAAATGGCACATCTAAAGATCTGATAAGCATGTCTGCAGAGGAATGTTTCCATAGGAGACCGTCAATAAGTCGAAATATTAGCAGAGGATTTCTGGAAGCTGAAGTTGCTTTCAAGGTTTTACACAAACAAGAACTGGATTTCTGTTTAAATTTAATAAAGGTCATGGATTTTTTTTCTTTTTTGTGAAGAAAGGATAATTAAATAAACAAATTAAGCTCATGGGACAATTTTCCACTTTATGAGCCTGACATTTTGCAAATCTTTGATTTTTATTGCTACTTTTCAAGGGAATGTTTTGGATGGTCTAATTTTTTAGTTTTACTTATCTTTTGCAGCTACCTATTTGAAAGGGACAAAAGAAGACAAATGAAGTTGAGGAAATATCTGATAAACATCTCAGTTTTTACTTTATCATTTAAAATATTGCAGCTTTGGCTCTTCAGAAATCAGCTTAATGTTGCTGCAGTGTTGTTTTTCTGTCTGGTATTTTGTATAGATTAAGCTAAAGAACAAATTGTTTCTGTGCTAGTAGTGACGCATCTGAAGATCCCTTCAGTTTAGGAGGTTTTTATGCCTGAATGTCTGAAAGTTCAGGATTAAATTATTCTGAAAATATTTAGATACGAGAGTCCATGGAAAACAAAACTGTATTTCAGAAACTCTGGACTAAGGGATTATTTTAAAGCATAGCAGCAGGGAAGAAAAATATTAACTATTGACAATATATGAAAATTAAGAAAGTCCACAAAAAATCCAAAAGTCTGACTGTAATCTCAAAATTCTGAAATTGAATTTAAAATTCTGTGAAGAATTTTTTTTTCTCAGTGACCCCAATCCGTTTATGTTGGAAGTAATTCAGTGCAGGATAAAAGGAAAAATATAATATATTCACTGAGATTCTGTAAATCACTGCAAGTGTTCGCATTGAACGCTAGGGGGCAGTGATGTTCAGCATGCAGGTTCACTTTACAAGCGAATGAAAGAAATTTGCCCAAGTAGGACACCGTAGGCAGAAATTGGAAAAGAAGAAAACATGGCGGCTGCGGTGGTCAGAAGGTTGGCAGGTGTGTTTTTGATGTTTTTCTTCTTGTTGTTTCTGTGTGTGTTGAATTTATCGATTTTATGTTAATATTATTTCAGGAAGCACTTTGTGGTCTGACCCGGTTAGCTAGAACGTTCCAGTGGTCACTAATTTCCTCCCCGTTATGTTTTATGGCGTCTCCGTTTTTGCACCAGGGCTGCTGAGACCTCTGTCCCGCTCTGTCGGAACCAGTTCTCCTCAGATCCGTCAGCTGTCCGGGTTCAACCGGGCTCAGCCTCTCTTCGGAACAGTTACAGCCGCTGTCTGCGGTTCCGTCCGGGCTACTGCGACTCAGACGCCCCGCTACGCCCTCCTGCAGCGGTAACTGTCTATTTATTACCATTTTATACGTGTTTTTCGTATTTCACGATAGTTATATTAATTTTTGATGACCAAACTCGAGAAAAGTTGTAAAAAAGAAACAAGCACAGGGTGTCCGAGAACACAGCTCTTTAATCAATGTGTAACACCCATCTGCTAGTAAAGTCATCAACTTTTTTAGCTCATAAAGTTGAGGTTTTATGGAGATTTATTCAGAGAAAATGAGAATTTACAACCTCCTAGTTGTAAATCTGACAGACCAGCACCCTTACAGAGGGATGTAAACCTACATATTGAGCACATGCTGCATTTTATTCCTCACTGCTGCAATGAGAAGAGATAAAAGTGTCAGCAGTCCAATTTCTTTCAGCAGTTGTGAATAGTTCATAGGGATGAGCTGTTGTTTGGTTGTATTACACAAGCAGCAGTGAATGGAAGCAGCAGAAAGTCTCACATTTCTCCTCATAATCAAATCAGGACAACCAGTCAAGTTTCTCACGATCATGTAGCCCAGAAACATTAAAGCTACACTTGTTAGGTTGTTAAAAAATACTGAAATATTATTTATTTGGTTCCAAAGGAGAGAAAAATCATAATAGATGAACAGAGAAAAACATTGCGAGGAAATGCTGTTTATTTAATCTGCAGACATCAGAGTGAAGCAACAAATTCTCACCTGGAAAACATGATGCATTGTTTACTCCCTGCTCAATCTATCTGTGGTAGTTGTGACTAAAAACTGTTTTGTCTCCAATTGTCAAGTGTCAGTTGTTAAATTAGATCTCTTAAATCTAATATTTCAGTTATTAGTGTTTTACAATAGACAGTTTTTAAGTGGTTTTGGAAAACCATGTTATTTACTTTCACAGATCTACATCCCATATTTCCCAGAAAAAAATTCAATATTTTGTTATAGTCACCATTTTGCAAGAAAAAGGTCAAGTTTTTATATGGTTGAAGGCATAAATTTGCAGTATTATGAAGTGATAAATTTAAAGATTGAAAAGTTGCATATTTGCATCAAAAAGTCACATCTGGATAATTTTCTAAGTCTTTAAATTTTGGTTTCTTTCTTTTTTGCTTAACATTTCTGCATGCTGTTTCAGGGTTTCAGCTCTGGTTCCCAGCCTGATCTGGCAACCCTGCAGAAACCTGACATATGTCAGCCTGAAGAAAGGAAAGCGGAAAACAGTAAGCGCGGTGACCGAGCGGTTTATGCGGCTGCACTGTGGCCTTTGGATCAGGCGGAAGGTGTGTCTTTTTTTATTGCCTGTCAAAATCGCTGGTTTCTGCTTAAATTGCATTTAACAAAGAGTTCTTGCCCTCTGACCAGGCTGGGTACAAGAAGAAGCTGTGGAAGAAGATGCCCGCCAGACGAAAGCGCTTGAGGGAAATTGTTTTCTGTAACAAGACTCAGTCCAAACTCCTGGACAAAATGACCTCTTCTTACTGGAAACGGAGAAACTGGTTCCTTAATGATCCGTATCAGAAGTACCATGACCGGGTTAATCTCTGAATAAAATAATGCTCCAATCATAAATGCAATGTAATAATAATATCAAACATCAATATTGTTGTCATAAAATAAAACTTAAATTCAAAACATCTCATACTTGTTCTTTGAAGAAAACTGGACAGAAACCATCAAATGTGCTGTCTATTTTTTTATTATTGTGTATGAAGTTGTTTGGAGTCATAAATCAACAGTTATGAATTATGTAATCACATCTTTGCTTTTTATTTTTTTGTTGACATCAATTAGTTACTAAAGAAATGTTTCATTCTGGCCTGCCAGAAAAATTGACTGAATTGGATTTACAGTCGTGAATAAATTAGGACACCCTGCTAAAACCTGTTTGCTAAAATTAAATGTTTGGACATTTAGAAATGTCAGGTTTAATCAGGTTTATCAATATAGACAAATAAAAAAATAAATGAAAGCGCTGGTAGGTTTGATAGGGAAGAGGTCTTATGTGAATGATTGATCCTATTAATCTATTAATGATTAATTCATAAGACCTGAGTTTTCTCTTTTATCAAGAGGATGGTGGCCAAAAATATAAAAGGCAATTTGTTATTATTATTATGCTGTCCATCATTGCTGAATAAGCAATGTTCGTGTTAAACTTCGGGAGATCGTTGGTTGTTTATATTTTAAAACAGCCGCATAAAATACTTTCTTTATCCCCCAGCAGTCTCTGTTAGGACCATTTTTCTTTGGCCGCCATCTTTGTTTCTGTACCTCCGTAAAGGATGACCAGCGCCGCCCTGTTCTGGGTGTTCTGGCCAAAGTACAACACTAACAAAGTCCAATCGGACTTTTTTTCATGATACTAAAATAAGTCTTCAAAAACCTCTCAGAATCTACAGCAATATTTCTTTGTTTACTCTCTGGATCGTCTTCACCGCGTTATGTAACGGTTGAAGCTAGCAACATCTCACTGCTAGCATATCTTCGCTAGCTAAGGAGCTAGCTCTTTGTGGCTATCGGGTAGATGCAAATTTGTTGGCTGTTAATGTTGTAGTGTTTTTGTTAATGTTGTAGTGTTTTGCACCTCAGGGCCACCGTATAATTCGATTGACCACGACAACTTTAAAGTAGGACCAATTTAAACTTGAAAATGGCCCAAAACATGCCGGGAAATTCACAAGAAACTAGCTGAAAACAGAGAAATTAAATGTAATGAGTCGACTTGGCCCAGATATGGATCTCATTGTGCAACTGGGGGTTTCCCCCCCCCCCCCTCGTTTTTTAGAGCAAGGAAATAATTTTTTGGGGTGTCCTAATTTTTTCACATGACTCTAAATGTCTGAGGAAGCATATTTTTCTGTAGTATAACCAAACAGGTTATATGTTATGAGTCTACAGAGAAACTAAACCAGAGTGGCTTCACATAAAATCATTTATAAAAATTAATATCATGCAGAAAGATTGAGAGTTAAATTTAATGTATGGAAAGCACCTCCAACACTAACACTGACTGCACTGACACATGATTAGAAACATCCTGCTTCTTTTCCACAATTTAATCCACTGAAAGAACAGTTTAATGTGCATAATAAGTATATCTACAATATCAGAGTGAATGATGTAAACAGAACAGTTGTACCTGAGAAGCTTCTGTTTTTTTTTCTTTTTTTTCTACTTTTACCATGGTAAAAGATACAGATGCAACCATGTAAGATTACTGCACACCAACACAGTGAAAATCAGGTTCAGGCTCAGTGAATAAACTACAAAAAAATAAAATAAAAAAATAGCGGCTCAGGTCACCAGGAGCAACAACCAGAGTGTGCAGAGCTGCTCAGTCAACAGCAATAAGTGATTTCAAACATAAAAATTCATGTCATTTAGCACTTTTTCAGCCTTAAAGGTAACCTATTATGCTTCCTTGAACAGGTTAGGATACATAAAATATGATGTATCATGTTCATAAAACATGTAATCAGTCTGAAGATGTGAGATTCTAGCCTAGAGTTCTGCTGGGGTTGCCAGGTGACAGGGCTGGGCTTGGCTGGGGTTGCTAGGTAACGGGGCTGGGCTTGGCTGGGGTTGCTAGGTAACGGGGCCGGCTTGGCTGGGGTTGCTAGGTAACAGCGCGGCGCTAGGTTTTTGAAACAGCTCCTTTTCCAGACACCAAAAAATATTAAGTTATTGCCAAAAAATGGCGGAGTGTTTTTTTAATTTTCTTTTTAGAAGCAGTAGAGACAGAAATGGAAGTATAAAAACGTGCAAAATGTGAATCTTCCATAATAAGTCACCTTTAAATTTCTAAATCTTTTTAGAAATATTCAGTCTTTAGAAACCAAAGTGATTGTAGTGAAACACATATGGAAGAAATCAAACTCTTAGAAATAATAGCTGATAAGAAAACTGAGCCACAACTTTGTCTGAGGGCAGTGATGTATATTATTGAGATAGTGCAAATAATTTTGGGTTTCTGTTTCTTTAAGGCCCACAGAGAGAGAAAGAGATAGAGAGAGGTAAACGTCTGATAAGTGAACGATGAAAGCATGGATCATTTTGTGAATCACAATAAATAAAACAAAACAAAAGCAGTGTTTTGTTTGAGTCCTCGGTTTGAGTCTCGTTCCTTCTCCATGGTGATGATTTCCTCTAAAGTACATTCGAAAACACTAAGACCAATGACGAGGAACACACATGCAACCACCTCTGATATATAAAAACAACCAAAAGCATGAGATAAAGTATGCAAACTGTACATAAATACATATTTAAATGCAAAGTGTCTGTCAGCATGGAGCGACCAAACCTCGTTCCTCTTAACATCATGAGCCACTGGGGTTTGTATAGATATATTTATATATTTATGCTGTGAATTAGGGGTCTTCGTAGGTCACTTTGGTAAAACGGCGTTCCAAAGCAGGGCTGCCTCAGTCGTGGAGCTTCTGGCCATTCGGTATTTTTACTCGTTGCAGCGAAGGCAGCTGGAGGAATGGGCTTCACATGGCTTCGTTGTTTGAAGAAAGAGCACTCCTGGATCTTGTGAGAGGCCTCAGGACTCTAAGAGGAGGCTGGAAGCACAGAGGCAGACGGAGTGTGATCAGACCGGGTCAAGTTGCCGCCGCCACGTTCAATCATGAAGCCCAGAAAAAAGGCTCATTTTATTGTTTTTATGTGTAAAATCAAGTAGGAGACTAAACTTATGTCAACTGTTTTCAGTTGAAAACATAAATCTTCAAAGTCAACTGAAGCTTTTAGATCAAAAGGGGCTCAAAGTAGGGTTCGGGGGCCATTTGCAGCCCTTGTTTTGATTCTAGTGGCCCTTGACTACAATTCAAGAATAAATTAGGGCAAAACTTTGTTTTTTACATCAAAATCTACTTATAAAAATATTAGATGTAACACAAATGATCATCTTTTCCACGCTTCCTGGTTTTCTTCTGTTGTCATGGTAACATATACTTGTTATAATATTGCTATATTAAAAATGAGCTACATGTAGAAAATGTTTTCAAATGAAGATTGACCTAAATCACAGAGAAGAGAAAATATTTTTTTTCAGTTTTCTTCAATCAGACCAACTCAGTCAGTCAATTTGCTTTTCATATAAGAGAAACATTCAAAATACATTTGAAGTTTTGGATCTACAAGCCTTTTCCTACAAAAATAAATAAATGAACTAAAAGAAAACAATAATTTGTTCATTTGAAGTAGTTCATGGTTATATTATGGTTGAATAGGTTAAAAAAATTATAAAATTTTCTGAGATTAGATTTTTTCAGCTGACTATTTCTGGACAAAATGTTTAGGACTTTAAAGGCAATGGTTTCCAATAACAAAGTTAAATATATGTTAAAATATATATTTAAAAAGTCTAAATTCAGACTTTTGTCTTTCAGTAAATCATAATTTGGAAAACATGATAGTAACCAAATAAAATATGATCTCTGTGTTTTCTTCTTTAATTGAAATGATTGGTAATGTTAAAATTTTCCTTAAAACAGAAAAATAAAAGTATGTAATCGTTGGAAATGTTCTCTTTTATTTTTCTGTAATGTTTCTGTAAATGTAAATCTGTTTTGGTTATCATCTTTGTGTTATATCACAAATAAGCGACAGCTTCCATATTAAATAAATGTCATGCCACTCCACAAAGCATGAGGTTTATATAATTATAATTATATAATAAAACACAGCGGCAGGCACTTCACGTCAGAAATCTACTGCATTTCTCTATGAGAAAGCGGGGAAAACTGTATGGAACAAAACAAGATTTTCCTCAGTAAATTGATGTTTAATGGGGTAAAAGTTTCACTTTACCAAGAAGCATTTTATGATCAGAAACAGCAAAGAACTCCCTTCACCACAAACCTCTGAATAAATCAATTGGAGCCATAATCCGGAGACAGGATTAGCATAATTTCATCATAATCCAGCTACAACCAGGTTCGCCTCACAAGGTTTCTGACAGAAGTGTCAAAAGAAAACATTTCAAAAAGCCAATAACCTGGAATCAGCAGATATGATGTTTTACACCCAGCCTCTTCGACAGCTCACTGCACAAGACTCCACTGCTGAAGAAAAACCATTAAAAACTGCTTTTAGAAAAGCCAAACAAGTCAAATAGGCCCAGCTAAATATTTGCTTCGTGCAGCTTTTCTGGCTCTAAACAAATGCTGTTTAGCTGGACAAAAAGCAAAAATGGCTTTCGAGGCTGTAAAGGTTTGATCTAAAGGGCCACATTAACAGCTAACGCGGGCCAGGTTTGGCCCCTGAGCCTTGAGTTTGACGCATCACCAGGAGGTGAGAGCATCCCAGTAAAGGGCTGTTAAATAAAACAGCACATTTTTATAAGAATTAGAAAACTAAACTGGGGAGGATTTTCTGCGTAATGACTGAGAAAGACGTTGACTTGTTAAATACTTGTTTCCCCCTCCACATTTCCAAACATGAGCGATGGATGATGCTTTCAAATCGATGTAAATGCCTATGAGGTTAGTGCGTCACTGCAGAAATTCTCTGAACAGCCGCGCTCAGCAGTCCGACTTCTGGACTGAGAGGATCGCTTAAAGATGCAGCTGCAGACGTTAGTGTGTTTGAGTACGACAGCGTGTCAGAGCCGTGGAGAAAGAAAGGAGCAGATTTCCACCAGAACACCCTGAAATATTTAGATTCATCTCTGAAATATTCTACAAAAAAAAAAAAAAACACTTAGAATTTTCTGAACTTGAAAAATAAAAAAATATATGTATACAAAAAACGTTGAGATGTAGGAAAAAACTTTAAAAATCAAAAATTTGCTAGAAAATAAGAATCAGAAATGTTTTAGAAAAAAAGTGGAAACTGAAAGAAATTTGAGATTAAGCTCAGAAATTTTCTCTGAAAACTTGGAAATTCTGAAGTTTGAAACGTCAAAAAAAAAAACTAAGAAATGTTCCAAAATGGAAATGTCTGAATACGAAAAGTTGAAAATTCTAATATTTGGAGATCAATCTCTGAAATGATCTAGAAAAATTTGTAAAAATTCTGATTTTGAAAAGTCAAAAATTGGTCAGAAAAAAATCTAAATTTTGAGACCAATCTTAGAAATGTTCTAGAAAGAACCTTCTGAATTTCTGAGTTTCAAAAGTAAAACATTTTTGACTTGGGACATTTTTTGACTTTTAAAAGTTGAGACCTTTCAACTTTGAAATTTCCAAAGTTGTACATTTCTGATTTGGCAAGTTTTTTCTTTTCAGAGATTAATCTCCAAATTTTCAAAGTTTGGCAACATTTCTGAGATTTCTGTCAAAATCACTGAGGGTTTTTTTGTGTTTCAACTTTTGAAACTAAGAAACAATTTTTTGTTTTAATCTCAACATTTCAGGTGTTTTGGGGTCAATATGCTCCTCTGTTTGTTTTTCCACGTGGACCGGCTCTGGACCGGCTCTGACCCGGCGTCGTAGCTCCCATCTGGGTTTGCCGTCAGGCAGCAGCCGCGCTCACCAGGCTGCGTACCTCCGGAGCTCTCCTCTTGCTCATCCTGAGCTGCGGGGAGCTCGACGTGGCCCGCACCTCCTTCCCCGGCCCTTCCTCAGTCTGCTCCTGAGCTGCAGGACTGGTGGGCGGAGCGGGATCGGGAGCAGAGAGCGGGTCGGACTGGGGCAGAGCCAGAAACTCTGCGGAGTCCAACTGCTCCAAGCCCAGAACCTCATACTCATTCATGTCAAAATCTGCACCATGGAAAAACAGACGTTGGTGGAAGATGACGAGCAGATGAAAGTCGGGTTGGATCGAGTTACTGCCACTGAACTTTGGTGGAGATTTAAAAGCTCAGACAATAAGAAACCATAATGAGACAGAGAGCAATTTGTTGGAGCACAAACTAGTATAAAATTGTTACTACTCTGCAAAAACACAAGATTCTGCCAAGATTTTAGTCTAGTTTCCAGTTTATAAGTAACTTTTCATTAAGATATAAGAGCTTGTTTTATGTCAATAATCTTTTAATATAGACTAAAAAGTACTTAAATGAAATAATCTGCCAGTGAAACTAAAATTTTTCATCAGTATTAAGGAATTATTTACTTAAACACGCTCATATTTCTTACTGAAAAGTTACTTTTACGTCAGTTTTGTCTTATTTCTAGTGTACTAAGATATTTGTACTAGAACTGGACCGAAAAAACTTGGTAATATTTAAGTTTTTGCAGTGTATTCAGTATTTTTCTTGCTCCTCATCTCCATTTTATCTGGGACAGTGATTTCCTAAAAAGACATTCACTTCAACTTCTGCAAACTATTTCAGCTGATTGCAGCTCTCAGTTTGTTTCTTTCAGCATATTTATGTGTTTGAGTCTTTATACCCCTGTCAAAGATTAATCGATTATTAAATTAGCTGATGATTAGTAATAATCAATTTATCAAGATGTTTCAGCAAGAATAAAGAGAGGTGGATGATACAGACTTTTGCAGTACTGAGAGTTGGGTAAGTAACATTACATTTACTTGAGTAACTTTTATGAAAATTGTTTACTTTTTGGAATATTTTTACTACATTATACTTTGAGTAACTTTATTATGAAGTATTTCTACTCTTACTTGTGTAAAATTTCAGGATTTTCTACCCATTGACTGAAGAACAAACATGTTTTAACCAAAAATTCACCAGACACAGACACACCTGCAGTTTTTGTTAAAGTTTCAAGAGTTCTTTATTGATTTTGTTATTTTTTGCTATTTATATGAATTGTTGTCATTTTTGTGCTTAAAATGTGAAAAGTTCCACTTAGCTTTACATTTTTGCTTGTCAGATTATGTAATTTTTTATATTAAATTATTGATAATTTGGTCAGCAGACGTTTTACTACATACTTTTTTACTTTTACTTGAGGGAAAACATGTTGAAATAGTGCGACTCTTACTTTTGTTCAATTTCCTGGTCCATCTCTGGTAGCACTATTGTGATAACGATGAAAATAATGATTATAAAAAACGTATTTATTACTTTTTCCAGGACGGTGAAAATGCGATTTAATTAAAGTTAAAATGTGAATAAAAAAATCACAGGTTATGAATACTGAAGCAGAGCATTGTGGGTGCTTTAAAGCAGTTTGTGATCCGGTGTTCAGAGCGTCTCACCCTTGTGGCTCTCTGACTTGCTGCGGATGATGGGTCTGGTTCGGTGCTGAGCTGCGGCGGGCTGGGTGGCGCTGTGTCCCGTCTGGTTCGGGTCAGACTGGTAGGACGAGAGATCCTGCATGCTGAAACTCCGTAATCTGTCCGACAGGACGCCTTGACCCTAAATCAGAGACATCAGGCTTTCTGAAAAACTCCAGTAGATATCAATGCATAACTGTCCAACAGCTTTTTGTTTGAAGTATGTAAATTAAATCAGGAAGGTCAGAAATTGACAGAAGTTCAGAGCGGATATCGACATTTTCCTGATGGTTTTCTCGAGGTAACGAGTTAATTTCAAAAATAATTAATACACACACGAATCATCTTATAAATACAAACTTTGTTTTAATTCGTTATCTTGCAAAAACAGGAATTCTCGTTAATTTGAGAAAATAGGAAATTAATTCTATCTTGAGAAAATCATAAGGAAATAAGGAAGTTAATCTCGAGAAATCAAACCTAATTGCAAAAAACTAATTTTGCTTTCTTGAGATTAACTTGTTATCTCAAGATATTTCCTGTTTCATAAATTTAACGAGTAAAATTCAGATTTTTGCAAAATAACGAGTTAATTTCAAACTGGCTTTTTAAGATAACGAGTTAAAACAAAGTTTGTCTTCATGAGATGAAATTAATTCTTTCTCTGGAAAAAGTGGAAAATTTACTCATCTCGGGAAAACCATCTGAAAAAAGATATGTGGAAAATGTCCACTTGCAGCTTCCGTAGAAAACACTGCACAAATACAAAAATCTTGCCAAGTATTTTCTAATGTAAGTATCTTCAGTACACTTGAAATAAGACAGAACTAACTTACAAGTAACTTTTCAGCAAGAGATAGGCGTAAAAAAAACCCCTAAGACGTATTAGATTCACTTCCAGATTAATTAACTTAAAACAAGAGATTTTTTTATGCTATAAGAGAAATAATATGCCAGTTGAACAGGATCTTTTTCATAAATTCTAAGGGATTATTCACTTGAAACAAGCTTCTATAATTTGCTAATAAGTTCCTTTTTAGTTTTTGTTTTACTTCAAGTGAAATAAGATATTTGGACTCGAACCTGCACTAAAACTACTTGGTGACATTTGGTGTTTGTGCAGTGTTTTCTACCCTTCAGCTAACGCTAACTATGTGTGTATAATCTGTGTTACCTTTGCAGCAGCCATAACTGCAGCTGTGGCTGCAACATTCAGTCCTTTCCTCCCAAAATGCACCAGTGTGTCGTAGCTTTTGTCTTTTGCTTGGCAGATGTACTCATCGATGTCCTTAAAATAACAAAAATGTAAAAAAAAAAAAAAAAATCACACTTGCAGATTTTCCCTCATTATCACATCATTCTTCCAGCTGCTGCCATTTCTGAGCCTGAGAAAAACAATTTATCTGCTTCCTGAGGTACCTTGAGGGGAAAAAAAGCGCAGCAGAAGTGGAAAAGCAGCATGACATTTCCTCTCACTCCATCAGCAAACACATTTTAACAGCTAAAGTGGGAAAGAAACTTGGCATAAAGGCACTTTTGTTCTCAGTCACTTAATCTTCCAGCCTGCAGGCTGAAAATCTGTGAACTTTGGAGGACACCGCAGAAAACAAAGCAAGATAAAGGAAAGGAGCTTCACCTTTTCTTTTGAGGAAAGCGTGGGATGGACGAACTTCCTGTACAGCACACTGGAGCCCTTGGTGTACGGCGACAGGAGCCACACAACGAAGGCTATCTTCAGCTCGTAGTAGAAAGGAAGCCTGGAAGGACAGAAACCGTGTTCAGTCAAAAACTGCTTCCCTCTCAGTGTTTAAACTGAATTATTTCAACTAAATACGGTTAAAACCAGAAGTTTGTAAACACAAGATAAACAAATTTTCCTATTTTTTATTGCTTTTTCAAAGTCAAATGCAAATCAAACACAATTTTTTACGGCAGTCTTATTATAGTAGTATTTTAGTAATTCTAACAGACCAAATTAAGAGAAGTTTGATCTGATTTAACTTCAGACAGTAAGAGAACAAACTGCGTATCTCTGTGAGCCCACTTACCAACAAAGAAACATATCTGTAAACACCTCCACTGTGGTAAAAAGGGCAAATATTATCCAGTACATCATCCATTTCACCTGAAAGGAAAGTATATTCAGTCACAGAGCAGCAGTTTACAAACCAGATTTAGTTATTTCTGAAACCATACTCACATATTCTCTCACATCTTTTGTCTTCACAGCCTTATAAGACGAGTAAGCAGGATATAGCGTACCAAAAACAAGTCTAAAGGACAGAAATTGATCAAATGAATCCCAACAAAGCAGTCCAAACAGGAATGAATCATATAAAATCAGGACTTAAACCGGATTAGAAAACAGTACAATGAAATTTCGTCTCCTGTTCCACAGCGGGGAAGTTCAGGTTTAACTTGTCAACCTTTAAAAGGCACCAACCATAAGCAATAACTGAATCAATATCTCCACCAGTGTTAGGAAATATATCTAGGGCTGAAATGATTAATCGCATTAAGTGTGATTAGTCGGAATAATTGTCATCTAAATTAGTAATCGATAAATTGCTAACAAAAATGCTATTTGTTGGGGGAAAAGCAAAATATAATTAAGTCAAAAATAAAGTATGCAAAAAATTTTACATTTAAAATAATAGAAAAACAATTTGTAATGTTAAACTTAGAACAGATCATGTCACATAAAATCTATTAAGCACCCTTTATAAATCAGTTAAATAAATAAAAAAATCAACAGATCATTCCTTATCACTCAAGCGGAAAGGACTGAGGTTTATGTTAGAAGTATTGTTTTAGCTGCAGATGCATCTTTTGTTGTAAATTATCAAATGAAGGCTAAAAGAATGCTATGTTATTTTACAGGCAACAATATGTTAATTTTCTTATTTAAAAACAGAATTGAATGATAAAAACAGATTGAATAATCGTTAGTCATTATATCTCTTAGGCTTCTTGCTGAGTCAAACAACAGATTGTGTACAACAGCTCTTTAAATATAGCCAATCCAAATGAAGCAGAGGCACATTCCCCATGACAGATTTGGCTTTGCAAGCTGCCCAGCAGGCAAAAGATAAAATTAGATTTTTTTCTTGAAATTCCTCTGGATTTGCAGCAGACACCTGCCCGCCATGCATGGTTGTGTTTTGGTGACACAGACCAGGAAGATCAGGTTACTGACCCACATCACGTTACAACCTTGCAGCCTGCCTGGTCAGCCCGCTAACAGAGATCAGCACAACAAGGAGAGTCAGAATATCAGCTCTTCTGATTAACAGCCGGAGCTGAGGAGCTCCAGCTTGTAACAGGATCTTATATTCTAAATTTAATTTCTGGACTGTTCCAGGCTTGGTGACCCAGCTGTTTGAATCCTCCTCACACATTACTGTCATCATGATAACTGCAGTTATTGAAGGAAAATATCACCATGAATGCAGAGGAACGATGCAAACAATTAATTAACTTACAATCAATTGGTGATTAATGGTTGATTTGATTAAAATTAGTTAATGTCAATTTGTTACTGTTTTATAATTTCAACAATGTTGCTAATGTTTGTTGTTTATTGTAAAGTGAGCCGCTTCATCTTCCATTTGTCGTTATTTTATATTAGAATTTGTTCTTAATAACTCACCTGGTTAAATAAAGGTTTAAAATATTAATAAAATATAAATTAAAGTCCGCTAAGACCTTCTTTTAGTGCTGTAGTTTGGCTGCCATGCAGCAGGGGGCGCCGCTGGTCATTCCTAAGCAAAGCCGAGCTTTTATACAGAAACAAAGATGGCGGCGGAGCCTTCCAGAACGGTAAAGAGAAACGGCCCAAACAGAGATCAGTTTGGGATTCGAAATGGACTTTGAGCGGTTCTGTTTCAAACACTTCACAAGCCTCTTAAGTTATCTATTCTCACATTATTTAAGTTCAATAATGTGAGAAATCTAGTTTTTTGTTTAAAATCAGCATATTATGAAAATCTTAGCCTTTCGGGTAACTGGAAGATGGTCGCCCTTTGACATAAGAAAGAAAATTCAGATTTGTACGAAAATGACCACTTATCAATCAAGTGTTTGTCCATCTATATGATGAATCAACTTCAAATTAACTCATTAAAGCTGCAGTATGTAACTTCTGTAAAATTTGGATTTTTTAAAGATACTTGTTACAAAGTGACTTATGAGACAATCTGTGAGAGATGTTACTGAAGAAACGCCACGTTTCCGACCAAAAACAACCGTTCAGATCTGGGAGGAGCTTCTTAGCGCTGTCAATCAACTCATCTACTTGCTACTAAATGTGATAATGGTAGATAAACAACTTACCAATACGGAATGCTGTTGATACGCTGACATAGGTAACAATGCTAACTAGCCCTAGCATTCACAGCAGCAACGGGAAAGCGGGAGGGGGCGGGACGTTCTAAGACCCGCCTCCTGGCTCTGATTGGTTGTTTTGTAGTTAGCTTGCAGGCAGAGGAGATTGATTATCTGACATTGTGACAGTTCAAACAAATATATAAAAATTTATGTTTTTATAAAAAGTTAGTCTTGCAGCTTTAATCGATAACGTGCATCCTTCCTGCCCAGAGATTTTCAAGTGTTGCAATGTAACCCGAGAAGGCAGAGCCATCCTCTATGTACCGCTTCCAATCTGGGACACCAGTAGACCGCTCCTGTTGTTCAGAAACACTAGTGACCTTTAGGCTCCTGTCACCTCTGGATGATCTGACTCATCCCCAGCAGTATAATGTACAACTCAGTTGCTCCGTCATGTTTGTAAAAATCTGCCTGATAAACACAAAGAGCTGCTGGCTGCTGAGCGCTGCCTCAGAAATAAAACAGGTCTGCAGGCCTGGCTCAGCTTCCTGCTCAGGGTCCAAACTGCAGTCCTGCCCTAAACACCCTGCTCAGTGAAAAATTAATAGCCCGTCACCTGATCCGCTCTCGCGTTTAATTCTGATTAAATTAGGTTGCTGGATTCATTGCGGGGGCTTGCGGGAGCCGCTGCACCGTTACGGAGAGGCTCAGATCCGCTGCAACCCGTTTCTGTCTCATTCCTACCGCGCTGAAGGTATAGACGGAGAGAAAAAATAATTTTAAAAAACGAATAAAACGACTTACACCACAAGTCTAGAGATGATCCAGGAGACCATTGCGCTGGGAAGGCGACAGGACGCGCTGTCTGCGGGGAGGAGTTTCCTCCAGATGACAGGCGCGTCCACAGGCGGCGGCGTCTGGACGCACACAGGCTGCAACGTGATGCATGCTGGATGGACGGGGCTGCAGCTCCATAGATGGCACTGTTGCATTGCAGCGATGCACACCGAGGCTTCATGGAGTACTGGGAGTACTGGGGCCAGGCTTAGAAAATAAGAAGAATAACGAGAATAAAGTCACATTTTTATAAATTTATTCTCATCTTATTTCAACGTTATTCTCGTAATATTATTATTTTTCCTCATTTTATTGCGACTTTATTCTCGTAACATTTCAACTTTATTGTAATATTTCCCCCCCTCATAATGCGACTTTATTTTGGTATTATTTTGTCTTTATTGTCATTGTTTTACGATTTTATTCTCATATTTCCAACATATTCTTGTAATATTTTAACTTTATTTTCGTAATAGTATTACATTCTCCTCTTTGCTATTTTATTCTCGTATCTTTACTTTATTCTAATAATTTTATATATTTTTTTCTCATATGTGATTTTATTCTCATATTATTTCGATCTTATTCTAGTCACATTTCAACTTTGTCATATTTTTCCCCTCATATTCTTGTATTATTTCGACTGTCATAATCTTAAATTTTTCTTTATATTCCACAATTTTATTCTCATATTATTTCTACCTTATTTTTGTAATATTTCGACTTTATTCTCATGACTTTCTTCTTATATTATTAATATTTTATTCTCGTGAATTATTTTGACCTTATTTTTGTAATTTTATCTCATTTTCTGAGTGTGACCCTAATATTTGGTCATAAATTAGTTCTGCAGAAATAATAATGTTAATAAATATTGAAGAATTAACCAATTGTGAATCTACAGACCAGTTATGTTTTTAAGTGTTTACTTCAGAGAATATAGAGATACCTGTATCAAAATGCAGAGGATACATTTATCTGGCCTATAAACTATGAACAGATTCATTGTTAGAGCTGCAGTATCGCGGCTTTGTCCAGACTGGAGCCTGTAATTCAAAATAAAGTCTGAGGTTCGGTTTCAGGACAACAAAAGCTTCAGTGGAGGACAGTAGCAGGTGGAAACCCAACACTCTTGTTCTTTTAAAAAGCTGAGTAAATGTTTGGAACATGCTGAACCCAAGGCTCATCGCATCTAAGCAAATCATTATGTTGTCTTATAAAGTCACAACTAACGTTTACTTTAGTTATAGATTGTTCTGATGATTAATCGGATGAAAAAAATAATCGCATAGTGCAGATTTTACATTCAACCTGCTTTATACAATATTAGAAATACATTAAAAGATGCTAATTTCACCGCTACATATCTCCCCTCCTGTAGAAAAACTGACACTGTAACAGCAACAACATGGAAATAAATACCGGATATTAATATCGGCCCAGTTTGGACTGATACCAATATATTGAAACATGGCCAAAATAATCTGACACCGATAATAATGTCGATATGTCACACAGGTGAAGAACTGACTCTTTTTTTAAAAGTTTATTAGTTTTTTGTTTTCATCCATCCACATAGAAAAATTATACACGCAATATTTAACGGTACACATGTTCTGCAGTAACCAGTAGCTCTACTTCCTTTGCATTTTGGAGAAAGAAAACTACAGCGACTCAAAGTCAAACTGTGAAGAAGCTGAAGCTTATTGAAAAACATGAGTACACTGCAAAAACACAAAATATTACCAAGTACTTTTGTTCTAGTTTCTAGTGCAAATATCTTAGTCCACTTGAAATGAGAACTAGTAGCTTTCAGTGAGATGTAGGAGCTTGTTTTAAGTAAATAATTCCTAATATTTATGAGAAAGTACTGGTTCCACAGGCATATTATTTCACTTACAAAAAGAAATGTTTTCCATGTTATAAGTGAAATAATCTGCCAGTGGAACTTTGTGCTTTTTTTTTTTTTAGCAATATTAAAGAATTATTTCCTTAAAAGAAGCTCCTACATCTGATTGAAAAGTTACTTGTAAGTTAGTTTTGTCTCATTTCAAGTGTACCAAGAAATTTGTACTAAAATTAGACCAAGAATACTTCATAGTATTTTGTGTTTTTGCAGTGAGGATGTTCTTTATACAGAGCAAAAACAAGAGTCTAGTTTTTAGTACACTTCAAATAAGTAACTTTTCAGCAAGATGTAGAAAATTATTTTAAGTAAATATCACTTATTATTTATGAGAAAGTTCTAGTTTCACAGGCAGATTATTTCACTTATACTATGAAAAAATGTCTTGTTAGAGCTGAAATAATCTGCAAGTCAAACTGGCAATTTTTCATCAATATTAAGGAATTATTTTCTGAAAATAAACATTTCGTCTTATTTCAGTGTTTGTACTATAAACTAGACCAAAATACTTGGTAAGACTTTGTGTTTTTGCATTGTAGGAGTTTTAATGTTCATAACACTTATGAGCACAAAAGAACAACAGATATATTCATGGAAATAGAAACAAATGCAAGCTCTGCCCATCACCTCTAGTGTTTCAAATATGGCAGGCGAATTAATTCCTGGTAAACTGAACAAAAAGTTTTCTAAAAGATTAAAAACTTCCTCCCCAGCTGGTCAGTTTGGGTCATAAACACTGACATAGGAGAGCGAGAATAACCACAGTAGGCACAGAAGGCTGATCATACTTACATTATATACACCCCCATAAACCTTCTGATTGACTTTGGAGAATAAAGACGTAGATAAAGTCACTGCAGATAACAGAAAACATCACCTTTTTAATCAGGCTGGATTAAAATAAACAACCGTTGAAGCACAATGTTAACCCAGGTGACAACGAAGCAGCAGATGCTCAGCACAGGAGAAATGTGCAAAGTGCCTCTAACTCTAGCTCCTCAGAGCCGCCAGTCTGGACTGCATGGCTTCGATGTCTTCCTCCGACTCTTCGTCCGAAGCAGCAGCTGAGGTTCCTGGAACCTGCAGGTCCGGAAGCGGCTCCGTCACTTTGCTTGGAGCTTTACCAAGAGCCCCTAAAGGACCAGAACAGAACCAGAACAGAACCAGACATGATTAGCTTCACTGGGAACAGCTGGGTTGTTGTAATAAATACTAAGAAATTAAAACCTGGAGAGTGAAAGGGTCAGGATAAGAGATATTACTAAAAAAAATAAGTATTACGAAAATAAAATTATAAGAATAAAGTCATCATCAAAATAAAGTTGTAATAATATAAAAAAGACATAATATTACAAGAAGAAAATCTTATTACCAGAATAAAGTCATATGAGACTAAAGTCATTATATATTTATTCTTGTCATATTAGATACTTTACTTATTTATTGTATGAGAATAGTATTAAAATACTACCAGTTGTGAAAATGCAAGACTAAAGTCATATTATGACTTTATTCCTATTAAAGTCTTATTAATATGAATATTAATATTGAGCGTCTGGTGACGCTCTACTTCAGTTTTTACAAATAAGAAAATACTTAGTCTGAAGCTGATGTGTTTATGATGACCTTCTTCTCACAATTTCATTTTATTTTTCTTATCCTTGCCCTAATACTCCATCATATTCCAAAAAGCAGAAACGTGCGTTAATGTTTTGTCTTTAAAATCCCCACCTGCTGTGATCTCAAAGAGAATCTTGTCAACTTCCTCCTCTGCCGCTTCCTCCATCTCCTCTCCATCTTCCATGCTCTCAAACGTGTCCTCCAGCATTTCCTCAATTATTCCGGCCTAAAAGTTCAAATCTATGATGAATTATATTTGCTTTAATGCTAGCAATTATTAATCTTAGATTGTAGCTTGTATGACCTTCATCATCTCCTTTGAAAGCTCCATCATTGTGGCCTGGACCTCTGGGATTTTAACCAAGTTCTGCATGGCTTTCATGACCTCTGTGCTCTTCTGCAACGCTCCAGCTACTCGAACCACAGCTGGAAAACAAACAGACGTGTTAATTAATCGACTGAGCAGAAGAAAAGGCTGCGCTCCGTCACTCACTCACCCAGTTGATTCTTCATGCTGAGAAGCACTGAGTTCATCTGGGCTTTGGAGGCGTAAAGTTTTGTGATGGCTCGTTTCGACTGAATCATCTCCTTAGCGAGGACAACACAAACATCTTTCTGTCCCTTTTTGGCAGCATCTTTGATGGAGCGTTTAACTTTCTCCTCCTCTCTTTGAATATCTAGAAGAAACAGGCATGAAAGCAACAATCAGCAAGAGCGATTTAAATCCCAGAAATACACGACATTATTAGATCAATAAAATCATATTAACAACTCCAGATTTAACTAAATATGTTCTGTTTAAATCAGGATTATGAAACAATGCAGTCAAATTAAGTTTATAGTGGTAAAAGGTTATCAAAGATGGTCTTTGACTTAGCAGAAATCTTCCTTCTGGATTGTTACTTTTGTTGTTTTCTTCACTGAGAGCATTATTACATGTCAAATATGACTAAATTCAGTTACTGTGTGCAGATTAGTGATAAAATTAATGCTTCTTTATGTGACTAGTATCATAAAAAAGCCTATTTTAAAACAAGTATGATTTTTGTAAGCAGTATTTGTATCTGCAAGGCTTTAAAGTTACAGTTGTCTTAAAACAAAAAAGTCTGCAAAGAAGCTGTATAGACTTTTATTGTTGTCACAATAAACACCCTAAAATATAGTAATAATATTTGAAGTGAAGCTAAACATATAATTTTAAACTACTATAAAAAATAATTTAAAATAATAATTAAAAAACATGGTGCATACATTAATTTTTAATGAAACTGTTTAAGTTCAAGCAACCTTCCAAACTTGCTTAGGAGGAGGGATTCTGTAAAGTTACAATAAACTGGGTTTTCTTAAATAAAAAAGCTTTTCCCCCAGTTAGATTTATAAGCAGAATTTGACTCTACAAATGTATTATAATCAGGACTGAACTGTAATGCAAATAAGTAACTTAGAAACTGTCAATATAACAGATTTCTGGATGTGAAATGCAGTTGTTTTATTTTCAACGTACCATGTTGTAAATGAGTGCTACATAATAAAGTGAAAAGAATTAATTGAACAAAAGGTAAGTTTATTATTACCTTTATCCCGACTAACATTAAGTTACTCTCCTTTGCTCTGTTTACAACATGAAAATCTAGTTGTGTATGTTAAGAAATTTGAACAATGTCCTCAAGTTTTTTAAACAAATAGAGCACCTTTACCGTCCACCATTTCGATACAATATTAACATCATAACAAGTACAAATTTTAGATTAAAGACTCGTTTTGGATGCTCAAGTTAAACTATATGCACTCTTATTTATTGCTTGTAAACTACATGCAGTTGCAGTTTTGATGTAATTTGTTGCTGTCTGATTATGTCCAGGGCTTACCTCGAATTTGTCTGTCAATCACTCTCATCTCCTTTCTGATTTTTTGAGACCACTCATTAATCTGGAACGACACATTGAAAACAAACACTAAGTTATAAAACTTTATAATATTTAAGTACCGGTAACACTGGCCTAATGTAAGAGCAGCTGAAACATCATCTGGGTTTGTTTACATTGATGGGACTGACAGCTGATAGCAGCTAGCATGTATGCTAATAGACATAACTTCCACAACACTGAATAAAAACACTCACAACCAACAACAAAGGTTTATTTTCTTTAAGAGGACATACGTCAGTTATTGGGTCAATAACAGTATCAGTATTGGTATTAAGAGAAATATTACCGTTAAGCATGCGGTGCTTATACTGACAGCTAGCGTTAGCCAGTTAGCTAAAGACGCTCCAGCAGTCATCTAACTATGAGCTAAATTTAACCAGACAGCCCAAATATTCACCATAAAGTATTTACCAGTTCTTTGGGGGGTTTATCGGGTGTCCTGCCGAACAGCCCCATGTTGTGTGCTGTGTTTCAACCGAACTACTCTCTCTGATTGAAGCTGGCTAGCTGGGAGAGGTTGTTCTTCGAGCACTTCCTGGTGTCTAACCCCGGGTCTCGAGGGCTGCGTTCCAATAGGAAAACACCTTCAGTCCCTACGGTTCTCATTCACTAAACAAGCCCCGTAGTGTAGAAGCGCGACAGAAATCGAACGAGACGCTTATGACAAAAAAGTTGTGTTAAAAAAACCAAAACAGAATCCAGCCCAGAAAGATAACTGAATCCATACTAGTGATTCTTATTCTTACAGTTTCTAAACTCTAATTAAATAAATTAAAATGATAAATTATCATCCAGGATGTCAGATATTATTCTAAGTTATTAACATGCTGGCCCAGCGGGTGCAAATTGCATTTTTCTCACCTTAAGAATTTTAATTTATAGTTATCATTATAAACTTCAGTTATTGATATTAAATGAAAAATAAAAGCAAAAGCAAAATTGACAGTATGATCGGAAATGTTATTTTTGCTATTTTCTCCGCTTCTTGTTCCACAAAAGCATCAATTCGAAAATGTGATTAAATGTGTCCAGTTTATTGATGTAAATCAAACATTTTTAACTACGTGGTTTATTAAGAACAATATTTCTGCCTGCTGTGAATGCAGTGCAGTCACCATACTGCAAAATAGTTAATTCCAAAAAACTCAAATAAATGTATATTTAATTTTAAAAAGCGTTTTACATGTCTGTGTGTATTTACACGTCTAATTTCTATTCGATAATTATATAGATCTTGTCACAATAAATTGTTGCAGAATTATTGGCTTAGTGGTCCTTACAAAATTGATCAGATTAAATCATTGATCCGAAAGGATATCAATAAAGTATTTTTAAAAATGTGTATTTAAATAATAAATCATATTTCGAAATATTTGACTTATTATATAATATTTATTAAATATGAAATTGGGTAATAAATATTAATAATATTTAAATACTACGTTTAATAATAATTTATTAAATTTTACTAATACTTAGTATTTAAGTAATGTTATTTAATATTATTAAATATTAAGTATTATTTCATATCAAATTTAATAAGCAATGGTGTGTGTAAAGTGAATTTAACTCAGTTCAAAAGTACTTTAGGATCAATATGTTATTAATTCCATTAAATAATTTTCATGTACTTTTTTACTTTTAATTAACTACAAATACATTGATGTATTTAAGTAATTATTATTATTATTACATCATTATCATTATTATTACTATGTTATTATTATATTATGATTACCATCATTATTATTACTAAATTAAATAAGCATGTGTGTGTGTGTGTGTGTGTGTGTGTGTGTGTGTGTGTGTGTGTGTGTGTGTGTGTGTGTGTGTGTGTGTGTGTGTGTGTCCGCTCTGAGGCAGGTGAATGAGGACAGAAACTCTCACCTGACATGATGAATTCAGAGCAAACGTGCTCGCAACGTCACCGTCTCGCTTCAGTGACGTAAACAAGCTCCACTTTCAGCGTGAGGTTCTAGATTGTTCTGTGATCGATTGGCTTAGGCACCAATGACGTAAAGCACAGCGAGCGCGGCGCAGCCAATCAGCGCGCTCTGGGGGCGGATTCCAGAAGCATCCTCGCAGTCAGCGGCGCTGGGTGATGCTAGGAGCCTCGGAGTTGGAGAATCCGCTCTGGATTTGGTCTCTTCGGGGATTACTCTGAATGAGTTTGCTATAAACAGCTCGGCTTACGTAAGACCTGCTAATTTACTTTTGTTCAGCCCCAGGAAGCCTGGATTTGTTTGCAGAACTGGACAACTAGACACATTTTGTGTTTTGCCCTTGTGCGGGTTCTGCGCAGGAAAACTCAGAGGGAAGGTGCATTCAGGTGCTCGCCATGTCAGTGGTTGGCATCGATGTGGGTTTCCAGAACTGCTATATCGCTGTGGCCAGGAGCGGCGGCATTGAAACGGTGGCCAATGAGTACAGTGACAGATGCACACCGTGAGTATTAACGTCGAGCAGCATCATGGACGCGGCTTGTTACGCAATATTTAGCCTGATGGACGCTCGCTGCGTGCTGTGATACTCATGAATCAGAGGCTCTGGTGTTTCTGATCTCCGGGCCAGGTGCAGGTCCAGGCCTGGTGCTGGTGGTTTCCTCGAAGAAGCAGTGATCTGAAGTTAAACCTGCAGCCAGTGTCGCTCTTTAAATTCTTCATTTAACCACTGATTATGACAGGAGTGCTGTCTGTAGGTTTTTAACATGACAAGGCGACATTGGGTGTTGCATGACCCTGAAAGGCTTTTCCACATCCTTAAAATTCTCCAGAACCGAGCCCAGAAATGCAACTAAGGCGATGCTCACTCTCATCCAGGATGTGAGACATTTTTCTAAGTTATCAACATGCTGGCCTCAACTTGTGCAAACTGCATTTGCAGCAGCTTCTTACAGGGATGTGCAGCTGCACTTGACTAAACGGAGCAGTGTTTTTTTTTTTTTGTTTGTGGCAAGGGGAAAGTAGGGAGTGCCAGCCAGTGGGATCCGGATCGCATCGCACTTTGGGGACATTTATCGTATCGTTGATCATTTATCGTGACAAAATCCTTATCACAGTAAGATGTGATTTATTATCATGATAAATTTCAGTTATTGATGTTAAATGCAAAAATCAAAACTGACGGCATGATTGGAAATATGATTTTTGCTATTTTCTCCACTTTTTGTTTAAATATCGCCAAATTCAAATGCATCTATGTGCAGTTTAGTCTTATAAATGAAAAAAATAAGTTTTTACTAAAAAAAAAAAGTAACAAAAATTTGGTTAAATATCATTCAAAAGCAATATTAATATCAGACGATACTGGACCAACGTCTGATATTAATAATTAATAAGGAGAATTAAGTGCCTCCTTAATTCTCAGAAATTTTAATTAAAATATGAACTAATAAAAGTTAAGAGGGGATTACTATTGTTACAAATAAGTTTGAAGAGCCTTTTACTCCAAATACTAATTCAAAATTACAATTTGTGTTTGCTCAAGTAATTTTTTTATGTTGAAATGATTTTGATGAAGTGTGACATACAAAACTAAAGGAATATGTAAGGTTGCACTAACTTTTTCACAGTGCTGTTAAAGCTGATGATAGTTCTTCCAGGAAGCTTCTGTTCCCTGTTTCAGACAAGATGAGCTGAATTTTGAAGGTGAACTGGTTTACCTCACTGACCCCGTTTGTGGCTCTTCCTCAGACTCCCCTGTTGCAGTTTCCGGATCTCATCACTCTTTGTGTAAAATATTCAGCTCATTACTTTTTGTTTTGCACCAATACAAATCATATCCTTCCTCTGCTCCGCTGCATTCAGGGCTTGTGTGTCTTTGGCCTCCAAAAACCGGATGATTGGAAATGCAGCCAAGAATCAGGTAAGATCTGTCATTGCATTTTGTCTTCTACTTGTATTCTTCCCCAAACTTTGTTGGCTACATTCCTCAAGTGATGTAGTAAAAAATATCTCCTATTAGCATTGTTTTATAAATTGGTTAACTCAAAAATATTACATAATATATATATAAGAATTTTTTAGCTGCAGATGTATTCCTCATGCACTATGTCTTTGCATTTTAGGCAATAAAATGTTTATTTTTTTACTGAATCACTTGTTTATTTGCGTCCTTTAATGTATTTCTGATATTGTACAATGGAGACTTAAATGACAAATCTGCAGAATGTACTAATTGTTTTCTGAATAATCAATTAATTGTCAGAATAATCCATACATTAACATAATCGTTAGTTGCAGTCCTACAGTGAAAATAACTTTTGATGCAGTTGTGGCTTAATTGATGCTCACAGGGTTCTTTTAGCAACTGTTTCAATCTGTTTACTCCAGCTAATGATTATTTGATTACTAAATTAGTTAGCGATTATTTTGATTAATGACGATTAATCTGATTAATCGTCTCAGCCTTAATGGTAAAGAGGGGTCCAGCTCACTAGCAAGGTGTACCTAATAAAGCGGCAGAGTCTTTATCTTGTATCTAAAAGCTCAAAATGTTTCTCCTGTTTTTCTACCAGATCATAACGAACTTTAAAAACACTGTACATGGCTTCAAAAAGTTTCACGGCAGAGCGTTTGATGATCCGTTCGTCCAATCAGAGAAGAGCAAGCTGCCTTACAGCCTCAGCAAGCTAGCCAATGGTAGCACTGGGATTAAGGTGGAGCACTTTACACACCGTGGTCCTGAAAATGATCCGTTTACTGATATTTGCCCTGCTCATCGTTTTGAACCGTTTACAGGTGCGCTACCTGGATGAGGAGAAGGTGTTCACGGTGGAGCAGATCAGCGGGATGCTGTTCACCAAACTGAAGGAGACGTCAGAGAGCGCGCTGAAGAAGCCGGTGGTGGACTGCGTGGTTTCTGTGAGCGATGCAGAATGATGTCAGCATTAGGGCTGTTGCTTTAAGCAATAATCAATTAATTACGTGATTAGTTCAAATGAGCTCAATAATTTCCATTTGCAACTTTTTCTACCAAAAACTGGATAATAAAAGTTTTCAGTTTTGTGCTTTTGTCTCAACTAGTCCTTTAATTGAAAGGCAATTACCTTAAAATTCACTTTATTTGTTCTTTCTGTTGTTTTATTTATTTATTTTTGAATATTTAAAATGTCTTCCAGCTCCAACAATTTCATTGTTTATCGCAATAACGTCTGGGACAATTTATCGACCAGAACTTGTTCTGGTGACAGGCCTGGTCGGGTAACTCGAAGCTCCAGGGAGATTTCCTGAACTCTGGCTTCTGGTTTTTCAGGTCCCGAGTTTTTTCACAGACGCAGAGAGACGGTCAGTCCTTGATGCGACTCAGATTGCAGGGCTGAACTGTTTGCGACTAATCAACGACACCACAGCAGGTCAGAGTTGTTTTGTTTATGCTGAGAAAAAGCTGAAGGAAATGATTAAGATGACTTATTATTCTTTCTTAAATTGGTTAGGATAAGTCTAAACATGTTCATTAAATTATTTCCACAAAATCATTCTTAGACAGTAAGAGTTCAGTCTGGTCAGAAATGCTTTTTTGGAGCTGTTTTTGCACCTCTTGTAACTTTAAATGTCAAATTTGAAAATGGCTACAAACTGGTGAATAATTATACAACCATACATTTGAAAAGCAAAAGTGGAGCCTCCTGCACAACCAATAATTTAATTATTATGTGTGTTTTTGTTATTGATGCGAGCTTTGTTTTTTGGTGAAATTTAAATAAATAATGATTGCTCATCCACTATAAATAAAATTAAATACACACTGTATTGCTGGGCTAATTATTAAATAAGGGGTTAGTTGCTATATATATGTATTATACACATATTAAATGTAAGACTATGTAGGTGGACAAGGAGTGGGAATATTGAATATGTGAAAAAATATGTACGTTTTGACATTATTTGTTGAATTAAGGACCCCCATTATTCTACTACTCTAGTAGAAATTATTCTACAAACTTTATAAAAAAAATACCTTTTCTTAGTATTATGATTCATACTGCAAGTATTTCTTTGCACATATTCAAAAAGTAACCAAGTGGTTTCTGGATAGTGAGTCAACAGCTAAACATTTGCTGACCAAATGAGCTGGAACTCAGCTTGGGTTGCTAGGTAACGGGGCTGGGCTCGTCAGGGGTTGCTAGGAAACGGGGCTGGGCTCGTCAGGGGTTGCTAGGAAACGGCCTGTGGAATGTGACTCAGCATTTGGGAGGTTTTTCTGATCTGCTAACTTTCCAGACAGAAAACACTTTAATTTATAGTCAAACAATACCTGGGTGGGATGTTTTAAGTGCTTGGGTTGTGTTTAGAAGCAGTTGAGACCCAAGTGGAAGTATAAAAATATGAATCTTGCATTACAATGATCCCAATAAACACTTTGTTCTGAACAGTGGCGTTGGCTTATGGCATCTACAAACAAGACCTCCCTGTGCCTGAGGAGAAGCCCAGGAACGTGGTGTTTGTGGACATGGGGCATTCATCGTTCCAGGTCTCCATCACTGCTTTCAACAAGGGGAAACTCAAGGTGAACCTTTCCTTCAGCCTCATGTTTACACAAGATTTTCTGATTTGAAGTTGGGCTCAGTCGTCTCGATCGTTCGTTAGGTTCTCGCCACAGCGTTTGACCCGCACCTCGGAGGGCGTAACTTCGACGAAGCCTTGGTGGATTATTTCTGCGAAGAGTTTAAGACAAAGTACAAGCTGAACGTGAGGGACAACCCGAGGGCTTTGCTGCGGCTGCATCAGGAATGCGAGAAGCTGAAGAAACTCATGAGCGCCAACTCCTCTGACCTTCCTCTCAACATAGAGTGCTTCATGAACGACATCGATGTTTCCAGCAGGATGAACAGGTGTTTCTTTTAGAGCAGAGGTGTCCAAAGCACAGACAGGGGCCCATTTCAGTTCTGGAAAGATAAAACTTCACCACATCCAGCACAGATGGCGGATGCAGATGGAAACGTTTTATTACAATGGATAATGTTCAGTTTTTGTAAGACAAGGCCTCTGCTGGTTTCACCGACTTAAATTAAAGACATTTTAAGACAATTTTGAATAGCATTTAAGACCTATGTCTCTAAAGAAATTGTACACACTTCATCCAGGTGGCTGGTGATAAATTTGCATTTACCCATTATAGACACAAATAACTAGCAAGTGAATATTAGCAGCGAGTTAGAGGTAGGCTTAACTACCTCTAGGTAACCTTTTGTATCACCTTTCGAGTAATTCTAGCCATATTTTACACAAATCGCCCAGACTATGTCATGACTAGGTAAAGATTAATGATCACATTTGAGTTAAAAATGATTGTTTTCATGGTTATTTATTTAAATGCAAATTCTGTACACATTATGTTGAATTTGTTGGTAGATTATTGTAATTTGGCCCCTGCAAAAAAACACAATAATAATAGCAAACTCGCTCACTCTTTGGTTACCTAGCAACTCGCTCACTCTTTGGTTACCTAGCAACTCGCTCACTCTTTGGTTACCTAGCAACTCGCTCACTCTTTGGTTACCGAGCAACTCGCTCACTCTTTGGTTACCGAGCAACTCGCTCACTCTTTGGTTACCTAGCGACTCGCTCACTCTTTGGTTACCTAGCGACTCGCTCACTCTTTGGTTACCTAGCGACTCGCTCACTCTTTGGTTACCTAGCGACTCGCTCACTCTTTGGTTACCTAGCAACTCGCTCACTCTTTGGTTACCGAGCAACTCGCTCACTCTTTGGTTACCTAGCAACTCGCTCACTCTTGGTTACCTAGCAACTCGCTCACTCTTTGGTTACCTAGCAACTCGCTCACTCTTTGGTTACCTAGCAACAACCTGCTGTGTAACTGACGCTACTTAAAAATAAAAAAAAAAAGTGAAAACTATGGATAAAACAGGAAAGGTCACCAGTTTGGGAGGTTTTTATATATTTAAAACAAAAAACAAATCAATAATTATTGATAACAACTGATATGAAATGCTTACATCATGATATGTTTTTCAGCCAAACCAGTCAGCAATAATTTGTATGAAGGCTACAATATTTGCTTATTAATACATTGTATTTTAATGACCATCTTTAACAGAACATTGTAATCTGAATATCTTTCTTTGTGTCTACAGGACTCACTTTGAAGAAATGTGCGCTCAGTATCTGATGAGAGTGGAGGCGCCGCTGAAAACGGCCTTTGAACAATCGAGTACGAACCTTTGAAAGTATGATCTCAATCTGATAACAAGCCACGGTTCTCCTCAGTATTCTCTGTGTTTTTTTTTTTAACAGAGTTGAGTCGGGACGACATCTATGCAGTGGAAATTGTCGGAGGAGCCACGAGAATCCCGTCCATCAAGGAGAGAATCACCAAATATTTCTGCAAAGACGTCAGCACCACGCTGAACGCTGACGAAGCTGTAGCCAGAGGCTGCGCGCTTCAGGTGGGAATCCTCTGACAACAGCAGCCGACTCAGGAAATCAGCCCTTAACAGCCCTTTGTGTTCTTCTGCTTTTGGATGCAGTGCGCAATTTTATCTCCAGCGTTTAAAGTGCGGGAATTCTCCATCACAGATGTGGTTCCGTTTCCGATCACTCTCCGCTGGAAGTCGCCCACAGAGGATGGACTGGGGTAAATATGCTGTGGTAGAAGCTAACCCAGTTAGCACCATGTTAAACGACCGACGGTAGAGATTGAAAAAAATTTGGGGTTTTTGGAGATTAATTTTTTTGTGAAATGTAGATGTTTTTTTTTCATCAGTGCACTCAAATCTTGTTTGACAAGCATGTTTTACAGTTTTTGCTTATTTTTACTTTTATCTACGACAAAACAGTAGGGTGAGGCTTTGCCATAGCATTACCAGAATTAAGTCATATTAGGAGAACCAAGTTTTAATTTTATTAGAACTTTTACGCAAAAAATAAAAAAAAATTAACCAGGAATGTTGAGTATCTTAACACATCAACATCAAATTAATGTGAGTTTTTAGGATTCTGAAGTGATGTCTGTCCAAGTTTTCTGCTTCTGGTAAAATTACATCTTTATTATTTTACTTATATCATCACTATATTCTTGTGATCAAACAAAGATTTTTGTCGCCTGACCCTGTTTCTCCGACGTCTAATTCACAGAAGAGATAACAGAAATAAAAGCCACTTTGAGAAAATATTTTCTATCATTTGGAATTTCTTATCTAGGAAAGAAAAAGAGGAAAAAATGATTAAAATGGGATCTGATATAAAAGAAAATTATGATTTTTTTATCTGAATCGCCCTAACTGAAGGTTTCTTTCCGTTTCCTGACGTTGGTTTTTTTCTCTGCCGCAGAGAATGCGAGGTTTTCAGTAAGAACCATGCTGCTCCATTTTCCAAGGTGATCACATTCCACAAGAAGGAGCCCTTTGACCTGGAAGCGTTTTACAGCAACCCTCAGGAGCTCCCCTACCCGGACCACAGGATAGGTACTGGTGCTGATTCTGCACTTCTGCTGCTCCGGCTTTCACAGAAAGAAAACCTTATCCACAGCTCCATGGAAAAATAAACCCATTTACTCCGTTGTTGCAGTTTTTATTAGACCTGAATGTTTCAGATGGCAAAATATGTGAATATTAAAAATATTAAGGCTGAAACAATCAATCGGATTAATCCGATTTATCGTGATTAATTTGATTAATTCTGATTAATTGTGATTAATCATGATTAATCTGATTATTTATGATTTATTAATTCTTATTAATAACACTTAATCACAACCAATTAAGCACAATTAATAATTACTACTATTATTCATGATTAATCGTGATTAACTGATTATTGAAGTAATCGTCAACTAATTTAGCTATCGATTAATTGTTACACAGACTCAAAAAAGGACATTTGCTGAAAGACCAACATATAAAATCAGCAAAATGTGGCAATTTGTTTAATCTGATTGATTAATCGTCGGTATAAGTGATTAATCAATTAATCGTTAGCTGCAGCCCTAATCGCAGTTATTTCTTAATCTGACAGTGAGGAGCAATTACTTTTTCACATTATGGCAGGTTGTTTTTTTACCCATAATAAGTTAAATGCTAATTTGAAAACTGCTTTTTGTATTTATGTTTGATGCTCTGAAACATTTTAATTTCACTGAGTGGCAGGTTAATTTTTTTTCACGGTCAGTAACCTGTTTTTCGTCTCTCCATCTGCTGTCAGGCTGCTTCTCAGTGCAGAACGTGGTTCCTCAGCCAGACGGAGACAGTTCAAAGGTAAAGGTCAAAGTGCGCGTCAACATTCATGGCATCTTGAGCGTGTCCAGCGCGTCGCTCATAGAGAAGCTGAAAGGGGAAGCGGAGGACATGCAGATTGAGTCGGAGCCACCAATGCAGAATGAAGGCCAAGCAGAGGAGCAGGTGAGGTTCTGATCTCCACCATGTTACACTGAAAGCTGCAAATGCAGAAGAAAAACAATATTCTTTGTTAAAGGCGTCTGACACCTGAGAAAACAGTGCAGCATTTTATCTTAGATTTAGACAATAATGTGCAAAATCAATCAAGTTTTCTTTTACCTTATATCAATAGTTTCTGACTGTCTTTCAGGGTCCTTTCAGAACCTGAACATTTCCAGAAAAATTGGTCTATTTTTCAATTTGTTAAGTGATTAATCGCAATTAGTCATGATTAATCGATTACTGAAATAACATCAACTACTTTAGTAATCAATTAATTGAGTATGCAGACTCAAAAACAGGCCATTTGCTGAAAGAAAAACACCCTCAGAACAGTGATAAAGTCCAAACTTATTTTAAAAAATTGCATTTAAGATTTAAAAAAATTATCTGTAAGGACGTTCTACCTAAAGCTTCACAACCGGCAAATTCTGTGAAAAACAAAATAGCTTTTGTTACCTAATAAGTAATCAGTTGATGCAAAAAAAAGTCAAATAATATACAATTAATCAAAAGTTCACTAAAAGAATATTACGTTATTGCATTTTAGGCAATAAATTAATCAGAAAAATTTGTTTATTTTAATTTAAGTGATTAATTGTGACTAATTGGATACAATTCTTCAAACAGGCCAAATAAATTATTGTAGGAAATAAATCAAAACAACTATTACAATTTGTGATTGCAGGATGATTGAGTCTCACACAAACCAGTAAATTTTGGAAAAGTTAATCTGGATTTTCTGTTTTACGGACTCTTAACTTGTTCTAATTTCTGCACTTTGAATCTTTGAAAACAGCAAAGATAATGCAGTTTGTGCCACCAGAAACATAAGAAAACATATAATTTATGTTTACTAAAGAAACTGAATACGTTTTGGTTTAGAGCAAAATGCAGGTGGAGCAGGAGGGTCAAGGTCAGGCGGAGGGGCCGAGCGAGGACGGCAGCTCCAGCACTAAGGTCAGTCAGGGGTCATTCAGTGGACTGTTTCTGACAGAGTGTTTCAAGACTGTCATGACATGCTAACAGCTCAATTTCTGGTCATATATTTTACATCAGCATGACCCGTTCCTGCTAATCCATGTCATTTGCTTTTGCTGTCTTGATGTATGGTTTGAAAGCCGAGAAGAGAGATTAGGGTGTTTGTGCATCCTTAAAAAGTCTTGAATTTATGCATCTAAAACAAAACCCTTAAAATGTCTCAAGTTTATATTAAAAAAATGTAAGTTGGCCAAAAATACTTTAATCACAAGTCTTAAAAATGTCTGAAAAAGTCTTAAATTTGAAGCCTGCAAATACCCAGGAGATGCTGGAGTCGTCTCTTTGCCTGGAGACGTTCAGGACTAAAATACATAATTCACGCTATCTGTACTGATTAATTTAACTGCATGGAATAAAATTTCTGCCACAAGACTTTTTTTTTTTTCTCACGAATGTGCGTCTGTGGTTTTGTCCAAGGAAGGGGCAGCTGCAGAAAAGCAGGATGCAGCAGCTGGAGGCAGCAAGCCAAAAGTGAAGGTGAAGAGTATCGATCTTCCCATTGTGGCCAACAACATTCGGCAGCTGGACGGAGATGTTCTTACAAACTTTGTTGAGTATGAGGTGAGAGATGCCGGCGTTAAAAAGCTGAGTCATGATTTCTGTTGGACGACCCTGACTTGCAGCAGCTTTTGATTAAATCCCCAAAAAAGTTTATTCTCCCAGTTTATGTTTTCTTAGCACTGAATATTTTCACTTTTGACTTTCTTCCTTCCAGCGTCAGATGATTTGCCAGGACAAACTGGTGAAAGAACTGAACGACGCTAAAAACGGCGTGGAAGAGTACGTGTACGACCTGCGGGAAAAGCTCTGCGGGATTTATCAGAAGTTCATCACCGAGGAGGTAACTTCAAGATCTTCACTTTAACGGCACTTTTTAGACGGAGCAGGCGGACCGACGCAGTTCTCCTTTGGTGACAGGACAGTAACCGACTGACGCTGATGCTGGAGGACACGGAGAACTGGCTGTACGAGGAGGGAGAGGACCAGCCGAAAAACGTCTACAAGGAAAAGCTGGGCACTCTCAAGGTTTCACTTTCAGATTGATAATCAACGTTATTGATTGATTTCATTTTGGGGTTTTGAAGATTTAATCTGGATTTTTTCCCCTGGTTTTTGTACTTAAGATTAGTGGCGGCCATCTTGTTTGACAAACATGTTTTTCAGCTTCTGCTTGTTTGGACTTTTTATGGATTAAGTTTTTCTTAAATTATGAGAATAAACTTCTAATACAAGAATAAAATTGTGCAACAATAAAGTCCAAATAATATGAGAATCATGGAACTATATTAGCAGAATTAAGTGGTCATTTTGTGAGAACTCCAATGTAAAAAATTTAAATAAGAAATGTTGAACCAAGTTCTACGTTGGTGTCGGTTTGACAAATAAGGCCTTAAATTTTTAACACATAAGCATAAACATTATTATGAGTTGCAGGACTTTTAAGACGAATGAGCAAACGACTGTTTCAAAGAAAACCATAAAAATGATCTTGGTATCAAACTATAAGCTTTTCTCTCAAAACAAGTTTTTTGTTATTGTGATTTTAAGACATTTTTCAGGTAAAATTTTGTCTTTATTCTGCGGATCAAACCAAGACCTTAATACTCAGAAGGGATGACTGAAATTAAAGACCCTTTTGAAAACATTTTGTGTAATTCATAATTTCTTTTTTAAAAAATAAATAAATCAGATCTGGTATAAAAAAATCATATCAGATCTTTCAATAACAACATAGATATAGGATAGATACATGATCAATATAGAATACATCTGATAGCATATATTGATTCTCCAATTAAAACTCTTTCACTCTACGGTTACCCAGCATTTTTTCAGATATCCAAATCCAAAAATAAATCAATAATTATATATTTATATATCACAGAAATTACTTTATTTGTTTATTTGTGTTGTATATTTTTTAATCTGGAACCTGAGTCCAAATTTCGCACCACAAACAATAAAAAAATCCTTTAATCCTTAAAAATAAAATGCATTGTGATACATTTCTCAGCCGTATTTCCCAGATCTACTTTCTAATCTACTTGGAATCTGCTGTTTTCATTCATATAACGTAATTTTCCCAGATGCTTGGTGAGCCCATTCAAGAGCGGCACAGAGAGAGCGAAGAAAGGCCAAGAGCTTTTGAAGAACTGGGGAAGAAACTGCAGCTCTACATGAAGTTTGTAGATTCCTACAAACAGAAGGTAACAGAAGGTCTTTAATGATCCCCTAATGAACCTCAATCCTGTTCCTAACGGTATTCTTCACTTTCCAAAGGACGAGCGATTCTCACATTTAAGCCCAGAGGATGTGAGCGCTGTGGAGAAATTTGTGAATGAAAGCATGGGCTGGATGAACAACAAAATAAACGCACAAAGCAGAACTGCAATAACTCAAGACCCAGTGGTTAAAGTAGCAGAAATCATTGCAAAAATCCAGGTATGGATAAATATTTTACAAATCCTCCATTAGTGAGATTTACATCGGGGCTGAAACGATTAATCAGATTAATCAGATTAATCACGATGAATCAAATATTGAAATGATTGTCAACTAATTTTATACAATTAATCATTAACTTAAAAAAGATCATATTTTGAAAGACAAAAATAAATATTTTTTGTTTTCAAGATTAAATTAAAAAAATAAATATTGTGAAAATGTTTGACCCAAATTCAGGTGGAAGAGTTTTAGCTTCACTGTGTCTAATTCTATGAAAAATATTTCCCGTTAACCATCTTTTCCTATCTCATAATTAATCAAATAAGATCAATAAAATAAAAGATATCTGACAGACTGATGTTATTGATGTTAAGTCAAACAAAAAGTGCTGAACTTTTCATATTTTGATGATAAAAGTATTTTTCTGCTGCAGATAATCAATTCAAATGATCAGGTATACATTAAATGAATGCATTTTAGGCAATAAATTGGTTATTTTTGTATTTAAAAAAGGAATTGAATTATATATTTAATTCTTTGCTGCTGAAGTTGGACGAAAAAATTTATTAATAGAAAAATCTGCACATTTAATAAATCTGATTAATCGATTAATCGCTAAACGTAATCGTTATTTTCACTGATAACAAGACCTATTTTCGACCTGCACATTTTACTAACTTCCTGTTTCTGTCCAAACCAGGAACTGGACGATGTTTGCGGCTCGGTTGCCAACAGGCCAAAGCCGGTCGAGGAGGAGCTGTCTGACGTTGGCGAACAGGCGGCTCACAACGGCCCCACAGCCAGGCAGGAAGCAGACGGGAAGGGAAACCAGCAACCAAAGCCTGGAGCGAAACACATGGAGGTGGACTGAGGAGCGGACTCTGACAATCGTCGTTCTCCATCATGCCCCTGCTAGGAAGTAGAAAAATAAAGTAAAATCTGGGCGAAACGTCTCAGGCGTCACCAGCCTCCTCCGTGGATTGTTTTTGTGTTCTCTCCCATCAAACTTTAAGCCTTCAGACCGTTTATTCCCACGTGTGACAGTGCTGTGTTTTACTCTCTCACATCTTCCACATGCAAGTAAAAGAGTTCTGTAACTGGTTAAATTCAGATTATACCAGAAAGATCCATCCAGTATCACCAGTAATCCCAAAGACCATTAAGAATAATAAGTACTGTCCAAGCAACTGTTAATGCAGAACAATTAGTTCGACTGCGAAAATACAAATCCTGTATATGTATGTTTTTATTGGGTTAAAGTGATGCTGATGTCTAGAAACTGTAAATATGATTTTAGTAAATAAAATCAGACTGGATAAATATAAATGTCTTTTTCCTAATGTTGCAAAACCATATTTACTCAGTAAAATCCATGTGTATTTTTATGACTTCCTGTTTTTAGTCATAAAATGTAAAATTAGCAACAATTATTAAAACCTAAATGAAAAAAAAACATTCTTTAAACATTCAGGAGCTCTATTGTGCCTCATGGTAACTGAGGACTGTCTCCAAACAAAATGTTCCCATTATTACCTGTTTTTCATTTAACTTAACCAATTCAGATTTCTTTTTTCTTCAAAATTGCTGAATTTTAGCATTTTTCCAGTGAGCTGAGCCTCTCTAACTGCACTGGCTGCCAGTCTATGGGCGAATGCTCCTCCTGTCTGAACGTCTAACATATGAACTGATTTTCCATAATTTAGCTCGTGTATATAATGTACAGTGTTTGTTGTCACCAACTGTGTGTGTAACGTGTTTCGTGTGCTGAGGATACATCAGAAACGGCAGAGAGCAGCCAGGAGGTGAGGCAGGCAGTTCTCCTGCCTCATGGCAGGGGGCGCTCATGATCCCAGACATTGTGACTGTGAGAACAGTCAGGGTGCTCCTTCTGCTTGGTTGCTTCTGGCTTGTTGCGCCTTGGACAGTGTTCATAGTTGAGCATTGTTTACATTAATGCATTGCCTCAAATGCTATGTTTAATGGTGCAGAGAGTTGTGACATGGGCAACCACCCAGGGCATTATCTTTTTAGGGGTGGCAGGAGACCTCTGTGGATTGTTGCACGGAGATGGAAGCAAAGCAAAATGAAAAAGAGTTTGAATTGATAGTGATACTGGTTAAATTTTTTTCAGCTTTATGAAATAAATTTGGGTTAATCTGGGTTGTTTATGGGAATGTGGCTCTTTCAGATCAATTTGAGAAGCAATTTTGTTAGGTGCACTTAATTTTATTGTGTCATGTAGGCGCTGGTCTTGGGTTAGGTGGTCTTGACCACAGCACTGCTATGTGGCTCGTTGAATGCATGTCCTTCCCCACCTGCCTTCTTTCCACCACCTGTCTGTTGGATTTCTTTCAAAATAAATGCCTCTCGTGGCAAAAAAGTGAAGTTTGTGCTATGTTCGGACAGGAAACAAGATGTTTCCATCCCTAAAATTATAATGCATAGAATCACATATCTAAGTCTAAACTGCCACTGAGAGTAAATACAATAAAAAGATGATTTATCTGTGGCATTGTTTATTAAAAAGTCACATTTCTGAAGTACTAAAATTAAATACGATAGTACATTTAATGGTATTGGGTTAGCGATTAGATAATGCATTCAGCAAGTACTTTTACTTTTAATACTTAAATATTTTTAAAGCCAGTACTCTTTTACTTTTACTGAAGTAAAAAATGTTAATGTGGTACTTTTACTAGAGTACAGTTTTCTGTGTATTTGTACTTTTGCTTAAGAACATTTTTTGAGTACTTTCCCCACCACTGGGTTTAGTTTTTCCTCTATTACAGCTGAATGCATTAACTGCTCTTATATAACGAAGTCCTAATATGTTCAAAGAAAAGAACAAAGATTACATGAAACACTATGAGATTTTCCATGTAAATGTAATTTTACAGTTTTTTTATATACAATATTTGAAGTGCAGCAATAAATACATTTTTTGAAGTCATTCTAGTTTATTATGGTGCAATTGCAAATAAAACATTAGTAATATACCGTGTTGTTCCTCTTTATTCACGTTTTATGCATGAATTCGTGAAACAATAACGCCCTTCAGCTCAGATGTCAAGCAGAATTATGTACGGGCCCTTTAAATAGGGGCGTGGCCTAGACTATTGTTGCCAAGAAACGTAGATGTGACGTGGCCACCAAGTAACGGGCGGATATTTTCAAAATGGAAGAAATGTCAGAGTTTTGGAGGGGAACGAAAACGCTAAGTTTCTTTACCTTCTGAGAGCGGCTTCTACGGGGCTCCATGATTTCTGTCGACCGAAGATCATTTTCAGAAATCGGCGCTGATCTGCGAGATCGAAATCCAGCAGGATGAGCGTTTCAATCGGCGACAAGATCGAGGTGGGTCCCTTTATTAGGCTAACGCACGCAGCTCGCGCCGACTGGGGGTGGTGGACTGACCGAGCGTTACAAGAACCACCGCTTCAAATACGCAGCGAAATAGATTCTTAGCACCGTTTATCTCAGTAGAAACGTCAGTGAATTGAAAATAATATTTTTACAAATTTAATAGATGGTGATTTATCATCGTAGGACGGATATTAGTAGACTGGAATCAGTTGAAGCTAACTTGTTGCGGTAGACGACAAATGGCTATGGCGTCATTGTTGTTATTATTGGCATGATCGAGAATACTTCATTATAATAATCAATAATAATGTACCAATTGTGTCTATAATGATAATAGAAACTAATAACAATAAGAGTGATATGAGTAATAACAATAAACATATTATTTTATATGAATTGATATTATGTTCATTATATTATATTCGTATATATATATATATATATATATATATATATTATATATATATATATATATATATATATATATATATATATATATGTGTGTGTGTATTTGGTTGGTTACAAGGCGCTCTCCTGGTTCTCCTGGGACCTCATCCGTTTGTAAACAGCAAGCTGCCTGGAAACAGCAGATGATCTCCTCGTTAGCGGGGAGAAAGCCGGGATAATTAAAGGTTTTGATTGGCCAGATGGCAGCGTCAGGTGTTTGACAGTTGAGGTTTGTTGTGGTGGGATTTTGTGTCCTTAGTTGCTGGAGTGACCGTTCCTTTGAGCATTCAACATGTCGCAGGTTAGAGGGACATTGATGTTTGATCAGAATGTAGATTATTTCTCTTCAAGTTTTTTTGGTGATGAGGAGGACAGTGTTTCATGCCTTGAAGCGGTTCATATTGAGGTACATGCGTTTAAAGATCCATCTGTTGGACTTTCAATATTCTGAAGTGAAAATATTGTAAATATTGCATTTATTGTGTATTTTTCCTTCTTGTTGTAGGATTTTAAAGTCCTCACCCTCCTTGGCAAAGGCTCGTTTGCATGTGTTTACCGGGCAAAATCTGTCAAGACTGGACTGGAGGTTGCAATCAAAATGGTAAGATAATTCTGTCTTAGAATTACAAGCTGTTGGCAGCTTGTAATTCTGAGCTGAACTGTAAACAACAGCAGTTGGGTTATTAGACTTTAGTTACCTCCCAAGGGCTTCTCCTGGTCCGCTAGCTACCCAGAGAGAAGCTCTTGGTTGGTAACGCCTTGTTGTCTAACAGATTGGCTTTTAGCTCCAGGACTCAAACACTGCTGGCAGCTCAGTCCCACAGTGCTTGTTAGTCTGTTGTAGAAGGGTATAATTGCCTGTGATATTTCCATCTGCAGATCGACAAGAAAGCGATGCACAAAGCTGGGATGGTCCAGCGTGTGACAAATGAGGTGGAGATTCACTGCAGACTGAAGCATCCTTCTATCCTCGAGGTAATGTTTGCTGATGTAGTTTATAAGTGTATAATAAAATATTTTATACCATATTGTCATGTAGAGTTTTGTGATTGAGAATTACAATCAGACATATAATTAAATCCACTCTTTCTAGATTTACGTTATCATTACTTTTTTAAACAGCCACATTCTGGAAAGCACTGGGAAGCCAGCTGACTGGCAGTGTGTAGCTAATCATATTCCAGTAACTCTGGGCATGTCTCTTATGTCTCATTCAAAAAACAAACTTTTTTTTCAGAAATATTTAGTTCACAGTTTTTTTAGGTAGTGACCAGCCTGAACAACACCAGATTATCCAGAGAAACTGGAAAGCAATCTTAGATTAAAACTTTAGTATTCTATTATTCTATCAATGAAAAGTAGGAAAACAAGTTGCCACATTCTGCAGATTTTACATTTAACCATTTATGCCTTTTTTATACAGTCTTAAAAATCTGTTGAAAGATGCACAGTCAGCAGTAAGTTGCCTTTCTAAATGAGAAAAACTAAATTTTTTAACATTTAAAAAAATATAATTTCATTAATGTGTGCTTGATTATTTGTAGCAATAGAGGGAACTGCAGCTAAAAAATATGTCTACCATCAACATATAAAAAGCTCAGCCTTTCTGCGTAACATCAATGCAATGTATTGATGATCTGCTTATTTATTTATTTTTATCAATAAATGAATAGCAAAATGTTTTTTTTCTAAAGCTCTACAACTACTTTGAGGACAGCAACTACGTGTGTCTGGTGTTGGAGATGTGCCACAACGGGGAGATGAGTCGGTACGTGAAAGAGAGGAAGATGCCTTTTTCAGAAGATGAAGGTGAGCTGCAAGTTTTCTCTTACACTGTAAAAACACTCAATATTATAAACTTTTTTTAAAATTTAGTTTTTAGTTTGAATATCATAGTACTTTTACAGTAAGGTAAAACTAACTTAAATTAAACTTTTGTCAAGACATAGGAAATGGTTTTGAGTCAATAATATAGAATTTTTATTCAGGTTATTTCACTTATAACATTGCTACTAAAACCTTCATCATATTAAGGATCTATTGACTTTAAACTTTTAAGTTAGTTTTGACTTCTTTCAAGGGAACTAAGAAAGAAGTTCTTAGTTCTATAAACTAGACCAAAATACTTGCCAAGATTTTGTTTTTTTGCTGTGTATATTTATTCAAAATATACACTGTAAAAATATAATGTTCCTGAAAGCCTGTCACAATAATTTCCATTCTGATGATGATTATTTTTTCAAGGGAAATTTTGTTTTCAGAGATATCCTAATCCATTTTATTTATGGTTTCTGTTGTGTATGGTTTTTCTTTCTGTTTTATTGATCATTTTTGTTTGTTGTGCTTTATTTTGGATATTTAAAATGTTCTCCAGTTCTAGTATTTTGTGGTTTTTTACTAAATTAAAGTGTATTGCTCTCTGAAAGAACTTGCACTATTAGGTGAAAATGCTCTCAAAACAACAATATTATTGTTTATCGCAATAATTTCTGGATCAATTTATCATTAGGCGATATTCATCATGACAGGCCTGCGTTCCAGTTAGATTTTTAAAACATTTATTTGCTTGTTTGTTTCTGCAGCCAGACACTTCATGCATCAGATCGTGAAGGGAATGCTGTATTTACACACTCACGGCATCTTGCACCGCGACCTGACCCTGTCCAATCTGCTGCTGACCAGCAACATGAACATTAAAATAGCGGACTTTGGCCTGGCAACTCAGCTCAAGCTGCCCAATGAAAAGCACTTCACCATGTGTGGGACCCCCAACTACATCTCCCCGGAGGTGGCCACCCGCAGCGCTCACGGCCTGGAGTCCGACGTCTGGTCTCTGGGCTGCATGTTCTACGCCTTCCTGACGGGCCGCCCTCCGTTTGACACCGACACGGTCAAGCACACCCTGTCCAAGGTGGTGCTCGGGGACTACGAGATGCCGAGCCACGTTTCGTTAGAGGCTCAGGACCTGATCCACCAGCTGCTCCAGAGGGACCCCGCGCTGCGGCCCAGTCTCTCCGCCGTGCTGGACCACCCGTTCATGACCCAGAACCTGCTGGTCAGGACCAAAGAGCTGAGGCTGGGTGACGACAGCTCCATAGACAGTGGCATCGCCACCATCTCGACAGCGTGCACGTCTTCCGTTTCCGCCAGCAGCAGCACCCGCCTCCAGCGGCGAACCAAGCACGCGATTGGGCCGGCGCTGCCGAACCGGATGACGTACGTTCCTCCGCGGCAGCCGAGCAGCTTCGACGACGCGGACGGGTCCCGAGGACGGGCCGCTCACTTCGGAGAGACCGGACAGCCGTATTCCAGGTTCCTCCGAAGGGCTCACTCATCGGACCGCTGCGGTTCTGCAGAACCAGGGCTGACCTCCTCGCAGCATGAGCTGGGCAGATGCCATTCAGAGGAGACTCTGACAGCGGTGGGACGGCCCTTCTTCCCCTCATCCTCCACTCCTCATCCGTTTTCAGACCATGGAAGGCTTCCCTCTCCTCCCGTCAAGCAGCCCGCGCAGTAAGACCTCTGTCTGCTGGTCGGATCTCCTCTTCGGGTTTGGATTGAGCTTTATTGAAGCGTTTCACTTTGTGTTTCAGCTCAGGATATCTGCCGGCTCAGATTGTTTACCCACCAAGCTCCCACTATCAGGACCTGGACGGAGTTTCTAACTGGCTCAACAGTGAAGGTAGAGCTTTGATGCTTTAATGGTTTATTAGGCTAAAATTAGTTTGACCTTCTTGAGGTCAAAGTGTCGTCGTGTCCTCTGACTCAGGGTCCGGCCCGAGGCCCACAGACGGCAGCGGCGGCAGCTTCCACAGCAGGGGACCCCCCGGGGTCCACAGCTCCTGGTCCGAGCCCGCGGGCCGAGGTCCGCAGCCGTATCCCGAATCGTCCCGGGACATCTCGGCGGGAACGGACTTCCAGCCTCCTCACAGCAGGGAGCAGAAGAAGAAAAGTCTGAGAGACGTTGTGTCTCCGCTGTGTGTCCACAGACTGAAGCCCATCAGGCAGAAAACCAAAAACGCAGTTGTAGGTTGAAATTCTTCTTCTTCTTCACACTTTCTCTGACTAGTGGTGGGCATTTATCATATCGATTTATCATTACAATGAATTTTCGTTTGATGTTTAATGATAAACAACGGATCAGAAAGGTTATTTACTTTTTGTTCCACCAGAATATCAGTAAATTTAAAAAAATGATTAAACGCATTAAATCTTTGATTTTATTGCAGTGCTATTGTGATAACAATAAAGTCTCTATCGGCCACCTTTATGCTGGCGTCTGGTTTCATTCTTGCAGGTGAGCATCCTGGAAACAGGTGAGGTCTGCATGGAGCTTTTAAAATCCCAAAACGGCCAGGAAAGGGTTAAAGAGGTCCTGCAGATTTCCTGCGATGGCGCCATGGTGAGGTCACACGACGCGCTTTGCTGCTGCTCGGCACGTTGTAACCCAGGTGGTGTTGCTGTTGCCGTAGGTGACGATATACCAGCCCAACGGCGGGAAGGGGTCACCGGTGCTGGACCGCCCGCCAGCGCCCCCAGAGGACATTCTCATCTGCAGCTACGACGACCTTCCAGGTAAACAAACTTTATTCTTATCATAAATATAATAAACTATTGGGTTTATACGTGAGTTTTAAAGTTGAAGCCACATATTTCTGTAAATTTAATATAAATACTTTTTTAAGTTTTTTATCACTGTCTGAAGTTAGGCTACATTTTTCTTGAATTACCAAATTTTTTCTATTTGCTAAATTAAATTTTTTTATATTTAATTTGAGCAGGAATGTAATTTACCTTCACATAATCTCAATAAATAAATGTTACTAATGACTCAGTAAATTATTGATCTGTGTAACTGAAATAAAGGTTATCTAGTATCCTACACTTTAAAAAATGTTATTGAAATTATGGGATGTTTGTGTGAAATTTAGTTTTTATTTTCAGACCTTTTTGGTGTGCAGGGTGAGTGAGGAAGATATTTCAAAACATTACATTTTGTTAGATTTGAAGTTGCCTCATCCAGACTGTAGAATGTAAAATATTACCACATTATTAATAACGGCAATAAATTGTACCAGGTATAGTTGTACATTTGTATTGTCTTATCTACAAAGTTTGGTAAAGTTTGAAATCCTACCTTGAAAGTGCTTGAAAAGTTCTTGAATTTTACAGCTAAAAACAGTTTGAACTGATGCCGTCATAAACTTGTTTCACAGAAAAATACTGGAAGAAATACCAATACGCCTCCAAGTTTGTGCAGCTTGTAAAATCCAAAACTCCGAAAGTGACTCTATACACCAAGTTCGCCAAAGTGATGCTGATGGAAAACTCCCCGGACGCGGACCTGGAAGTCTGTTTTTACGACGGTGAGTCCCAGATGTTGGGCAGATGTTGGGCCGTCGCTGCAGAAGAGGCTGAGCTGACTCCGACTCCGTCTTTTAGGAGCAAAGACCCACAAGACGTCGGAGCTGGTGCGAGTGGTGGAGAAGAGCGGGAAGTCGTACACGGTGAAGGGAGAAGTGGGTCTGAGCGGCCTGAGCCCGGAGAGCCGGCTCTATGTGGAGCTGTCCGACGAAGGCCATAGCATGTGTCTGTCACTAGAGGCCGCCATCACGGCGGAGGAGCAGCGGAGCGCCAAGAAAGTCCCGTTCTTCCCCATAACGATCGGCAGGTAGAGATGCTTTGATAAATACCTGGAGCGATTCTTCTTTGTTCTCCTTCTTGTTTTTGTTGTTTTTCCTTTTTTTCTTGTTGCTGTTTGTTCTCTTCCTTCTTGTTTTTCTTCTCGTAATTTTCTTTTTGTTGATTTTCTTCTTTTTTTTTTTTCTTTCCCATTTTTTTCTTGTTTTGTTTTTGTTGTTTGTCTTTTCCTTTTTCTTCTTGCTGTTTTTCTTTTTCTTCATCTGTTGTTTTCATTCTGTTTTTTCTTTTTGTTTTGCTTCTTGGTTTTTTATCATTCTTTTCTTTCTTCACCCTCTAATTTTTTTCTTGTTCCATTCCAAGTCTTATTTTGTTTTTTGCTCTCTTATATTTTCTTCTTCTTTGGCCTTGTTCATGTTTTCTACCTTCTTGCTCTTCTTCTTCTCCTGAGAAGTCATTCTGTGTGTTAATCTTCGCAGGAGGCCGGCCAGCTCAGAGTCTTCATCCTCCGGGTCGGCGCCATCACGGCCGGTTCCTCCTGATTTGGCGACGCCTCCTAAACCTCCACACATCACTCCTTCAGTAAGAGTCGCTGGCTCAGCATAAAGCCACAATGAATCCAGATCCAATCTGTAAAGATCTTATTTATTTTCAGATGATTTCCTACGACGGGTCGGATTTCACCTCAGCCAGCTTGAGTAAAAAATGCTCCCAGGACTCGGGTCAGAGCGCAGGAAAGGTGGTGAAGTCGATATTCGTGCCCAACGTCGGATGGGCGTCCCAGGTAAAAAAAGATCAGGATTGTCTCTGATCTGTTGATGGCTGCAGCTGTTGAAGCACCGGGTTTGTGTTTCTGAAGCTGACCAGTGGAGAGGTGTGGGTCCAGTTCAACGACGGCTCCCAGCTGGTGGTGCAGGCCGGAGTCTCCTCCATCACTTACACGTCAGCAGAGGGCAGAGTCACCAGGTGGGAAACAAACTGACTTTAAATGTTTTAAACTCTGAATATGCACAACTCACACCTGCCCAGACTGAAACGCCTCCATTCTCTAAACAATAAATCACTGATGTGAGTTATTGAGCTAATAGAAGATTAATTGATCACCAATCCTTACCATAAACAACCCAGGTTTCAACCCAGGTTCTCCTCTGCAGGTACAAGGAGAACGAGAAGCTGCCTGAACACGTCAAAGAGAAGCTGCACTGCCTCTCCACCATCCTCAGCCTGCTGGCCAATCCGGTGCCTCGTCACGCGCATTAGCCGCCCGCAGGAAACCCCACGTTAGCATTAGCAGCCGCCAGATCGTCGCCGCTACGCTGTAAATATTCTGTCTGTATCTTTGCTCTTTTTCTCGTTTCATTTTTTACATGTACAGAAGACTGATTATGAAAAGATTTTATTTTTATAACATGTTTATAGAGTCTAAAATAGCCGTGTTGCAAAGTTTTTCTGTCTCATGAACTTGGAGATGCAATAAACATCTGGAGGTGGAGAACTAGAGATCTGATTGGTTGGTTTTCTCTTCACAATTTATTAAAATTAAAATATTTTCTATTAAATGTAAAAGTGAAACTACAGTTGAAACCAGAAGTTTACATATACTGAATAAAAAGATACTTCAGATACTTTTTTATCTCAGTGTATGAACTCAAACATTTCAGAAAAAAATGTAATTTCTGAGTTTGAAAAGTTTAAAATCTCTTGATTTTTTTTTCACTTGAATTTAGAAAATTTGCTACAAGACACTATAATTTTTAAATTGTCTAAAAGTACCAGGCCATTTCTGAGCTCAGACTGAAAACATGGCAAGGAAAAAAAAAAGAAGATTGACCTCAAATTTCTGTCAGAAATTTTCTAGAAAAAATAGGAAAAGTTTACAATTTTCCAAGAATGTTTTCGGATTAACTGAACTTTTCTGAATTTCTTTTGGAAGTTTTTTAATTTTAAAAGTCAAAGATTTGCTAAAAGAAAGCCCTAAAAGTTTGAGATTACAATAAATTCTATTTATTTAGAAAACATCAGAAACTTTCATTTTTTTCCAGAAAGAACTTAATCTTTTACGTTCTGACAGAAATATATTTTCTTTTTTCTACGAGGTCTTTGTGGTAAAAATTGTCATTTACCAACCTGAATTATTCTAACACAACACATTTGGTCTTATTTAGCTTCATTTAGAAAACATAACCTGTAACTAACCTTCCTTATTAAACACCTGAACAATTGAACAAAATCAGGTCACCATATTAAGACAACGGAGGTTTCACATGTTTATTTTTGCCTGTTGAACTGGCCCTTTAATTAAAAAAAGGTCAAAATTGTGGATCTTAATTACAGAACTCTTACAAAACATACTATATGTAATTAAGCCTCGGCGCATATAAACATTATACAAGACACCCATGAAGTAAACATTGAGGTGAAGCTGGGAGCAGGAAACGGTCTGGGCTGCAGATTATTTTCAACGTGAAGAACAGGAAGTACAGGGAAGCGTTAGATTCTCCTGAACCCGCTGTAGTTCGGATCACCGGTATGGATTTAAAGGTTCTGGCCCAGAGAGATGCTGATGAGGAAGCTGCAGAGACAATTAAGTGGAAAAGAAAATGGGAGGAATGATCTCCAGGATTCAGGCTCAAAGGAGTGCAATCAGTTAGAGACTGAACCGCGGTTCTGGTTTGATTTGATCAACATGCGAGCCATTTTACTGTAAAATATGCTCAAAAACATCACTGCTCTCAGTTTATTTATATAAAACATTTTCCCATAAAATCTCAATAAAATAAAGTTACTCTCATTAGATGTCAAGACAAAAGTATAAACAAACCAGAGTAATAAAAAAAAAAAAAAAATCACAGTGGACACTGGGAACAAGAGCTGGACCTCCTCCCTTCACACGGATACAGCAGCTGGAAGAGGAACCGGGTCAGAACCGAGCTCAGCGAAGCGACAGACAGGAGTTCTACAGGAGAGGATGAGCGACAGGAAAACAAGATTCTTCCTTAAATCATCCAGACCAGAAGTTTTCAAAGTGTGAGAGAGCAAATAGAAAACTGTCCTCCATTTCATCAAAGTCTGAAAACCTGCTAAAGTTACTGGATGCTAAAATACCAAAATACTTTTGGCTGTGCTAAATATTTAACTTCAAACTAAATATTTAGACTGAAGCTAAATGTCTAGCTTCAAATTAAGTATTTAGTTTGAAGGCAAATAGCTAAATATATGTTTTAAGCTGAATGTTTAGCTTGCTGACTAAACTTTATTCAGCTTCACACTAAATATTCAGATTAACTAAACATTTAGATTGAAGCTAAATATTTCACTTGCTAACAAAATATTTAGCTTCAATCTAAATATTTAGTTTGATCCAAACATTTCGGTTCATACTAAATATGATTCGCTAACAAAACATTTTGTTTCAAACTCAATGTTTAACTTGCTAACGAAATGTTTAGCTTACTATCATTTAGATTGAAGCTAAATATCTAATTTGCAAACTAAATATTTGCTTTAAGGTAAATATTAAGCTGAGTAAACATTTCACTGAAGCTAAATATTTAGCAGCTAACTTAATCTTTAGTTTGAAACCGACATTTAAAAATAAATGTTGCCTCATAGTGGAGCATCTTAACATCCAAACCATGAAAATCCAAACTTTAAATAATCAGCAGAAACCAAACTGATAGAGGAACTAAATATTTACCCATTTGTCTCCAGCATAGGTTTGGTGAAGTCGGCTAAATGTCTGCGGATATTTTTTCTGAGGAGCTCAGGTGTCTCACACTTTGAAAATCTTGGATCTTTTAGTTTGTTGTTTTAAAGTGACACGCTCGTTTAAGGAGAGGATCCACTGGAATATCGGAAATCAACCCTGGAATTTCTCTGCAGACATGAAGGACGGGGAATGTAGTCGCAGAGAATCAACATCTGGAGCCAAACAGCTGCAGAAACGCCACCAAACTTGTTCACGTGACCACGGATGTTCAACTCTTCTCTCAAACTAAACTTCATGGCACTTTGATAAGAACTCCCTTCGTCTGACCCGACAGCGGCCCGCAGGACCGCGACCCGTCGCACTGCGGAGTCTAAGTGTTTGGCGGGATCGGGCCGTCAGCCGCCGTTAGCCGCTGTTAGCTACCGTTATCTACCGTCAGCCGCCGTTAGCTACCGTTAGCCGCTGTTAGCTACCGTTAGCCGCTGTTAGCTACCGTTAGCTACCGTCAGCCGCCGTTAGCTACCGTTAGCCGCCGTCAGCCGCTGTTAGCTACCGTTGGCCGCCGTTAGCTACCGTCAGCCGCCGTTAGCTACCGTTAGCCGCTGTTAGCTACCGTTGGCTACCGTCAGCCGCTGTTAGCTACCGTTAGCCGCCGTTAGCTACCTCGCCTGGACTCTTTCTTTACAGCGAAACTGAACTCAGCCGTTCGGTTCCCAAAGGTTCACATTACAGTACTGATACAGTCTGATCGGACAGAACCAAATGTACAAAAAGGCAGAGAGGAAAGAAGCTGACACCCAATCACCAACAGTTTCAGTAACCACAGAGGAAAAGGCCTAGTTTTGATTAGATACATTATTAACATCATAATTACTCTGATTATTATTCATCTTCATTATTATTATTATTATTATTACTGTCACCACTGTGATTTTCTCAGGAATCAAGCGGGCCGGGCCGGGCTCAGTCACTGGGAGGAGGCCTTCGTAGCTATTGTGGAGACGCAGTGCTGCTGGAAGTTGGGCGACACGGCCGAGTTGCAGCCCAGTCTCTGCAGCTCCTTCCCGCGCACGCTGCTGCAGCAGCAGCACGGCGCCTGGGGGCCGGCGCCGCCACCACCGCTCACCGCCAGGCCTTTGGGCTGGTCGCCGCCGGGAACGAAGTCCGGGTTGTGGCTCTGCAGGAGGCCGCTGATGTGGCTGAGCAGGTCGTTGAAGAACTCCGGAACGCCTTCATAACCTGGAAGCAGAGAAACGCTCAGGAAACGACGGGACGGTGCTCATTTCACCAAAAACAGTAAATATATTCTTTGGGTTGATCATTTTAGTTATCGATTAATTGTTTCTGACGATTAATCAATTATCCTGATGATTAACTGATAATTCTGATGATTAATCGGATAAGACAACTGGCTCATTCTGCAGATTTTTCATTTAAATCTATTTTATACCATATTAGAAATACATTAAAAGATGCAAACAAACAATTTAATAATTTTGAATAAAAAAATAAACATTGTTGCCTGAAATGCATTAATATAACATTCCTTTAGCGAATGCTTGATTATTTGTAACAAAAGATAACAGAAATATAAAGTACTTCCAACAACTTGTGAAAAGCTCAGGTTATTATTTTTGGGTTAATTGTTTAATAACTGGATAACAAAAAGTGCTTAAGGTATTTTTTTTATAGACTTTGAACTGAGTGAAGCTGTTGCAGCCGAAACATTTTGAGTAAAATGTATTTATAAACAGAGATGATCTTTTTTTCTTAAATGCAAAATGTATATATTTGTACAGTTTCGGCTTAATTACTGCTGACTGTGTTGCTCTTTCTGAAAATGGCCTTTTTTGCATAATCCAGTTAATCGATTACTAAAATAGACAATAATTCCAGTAGTCAATTAATCACGATGAATTGTTTAGCCATATTACTGACATAATTTTCTTACTATGGAAAATACAAAGTATGACACAAACTATTTATATCTTCATAATTAAGCTTTTATAATAAGTAAAACTATCCAAAAACTTCAACTGAAAATTAAAGTTTGCTGCAGCTAAATCAGTTTTTTGTTATTCCAATAATTGATTAATTGCAATTAGTCACAATTAATCTAATACATCAATTAAAAGCTGATTTGGCTTCACCAAAATTTGCTTTAGCGTGTGAGTCAATGAGTAGACGTGACCTTCAGCGATTAAAAATTTTTTTTTATCTGATCAAAATAATTGGTAGGATAAACAATTCTTCAGCTAAACCTAAGCTTGTGCAACAGAACCACCCCATGTTTATTGGCTACGGGGTAAAATAGCGCTGACGCCGCTCTGATCCGAAACAGCTCAGCGCCACAGCAGCGACAGGAAGTCATCGTTTTTAAACGGCGCTCCAGTTCCTGACCCAACGACCAAACAGAGATGGTTCAGAGCGAAGCCGCTCGTACCGGGGAACGCGTTGATGTCGATGACCGCGTGCTGACCCGTCTGGTTGTTGATGATGACGTCTATGCCGAACAGGGACACGCCCAGCGCCTGCCTCAGCGACTGGGACAGCTCCCTGATGACGTCATCGCAGGGCGGCGGGGACACGCCCTCCACGTTCTCCCTCTGAAGAGAGTTAGAAAAACAACAGGTGTTACGCTCTTCCAATGGTGAAATTCAAGAATCCAAGGTAGTTTAAATGTGTTACTATATAATATTGTTTATTACTGTTATTATTTCTTGTGATGAACTAAAATAAAAGCTAAATTTAATGTCTTGAAATGTCTCTCTTACAGGGTTGACTGGTCCAATAACGCTAACTAAGAAACAAACCCAAATTTAAATGAGTTTATTAAACGTATAAACCAACCTCTATTTCTGTTGCACAAATCAATTAGTCATTGAGATGTTAGGAATATTAAATATTAAAAAATTTAATCCAGTAAATTTCCTATTAATGATTTTGGTGACTCCAGGAAAATTCAAGCACTTTTCAAGGCAGAATTTCAAAATTTTCCAGCACTGCATTTGGAGATAAAAAAAGAAGAAATTATATAATTTATTATTGTAAACTAAAATATGACAAAATTTTCTTTCACCAACTTTTGAAAAAAATAAAAGCCCAATTTTAATAACTTTGTTTAAAATATAAAATGATTAATAAGTCATTGAGTCATTAGAAGTAATAAATACTGAAACAATCCAAATAAATCATGTTAAATTACCTTTCTGCTCAAATTAAATGCTTAAACGCAACATAAAAATAAGTTACAAAAAAATCTCTAAAAACAATTCTTGCTAAGTTTTCAGTCATTTAGCAAATATAAATAATTTAGGTAATTATAACTAACCTGAAAAAAAACAAAACAAAAAACTTCAGACTGTAACAAAAAAAATTAATATTTGGTTTCAACTGTAAGTAATGTTTTCCGAATTTAGACATTTAATAAAATGTTAGACTGCATTTTATTACAAACTGTAGTTTGACTATGAAGCACTTTCCAAACCTTGGAAACCCATAATTGAAATTAAAGGATTTTCAAGGATTTTCCAGCACCCGTACAAACCCTGAATAAAGAAACACAGAGACCCACCGAGGTCAGGTCTGAAGACGACTCGGGTTTGGAGACGTTGTGGCTGTTGAAGAAAATGGCTTTTCGTTCTGAAAGACGAAGAAGAAACAAAGAAAAACAAAAGATCAGTTTCACATCCCGGCCTGCAGGTGGCAGCAGAGGTCAGCAGTCACAACGAGTCGCACAGGACCCCAAAGGGAGTCGCTTTAAAAAATTGATTTGTTAGATTTAGCTGCTTTGTGTTTGATTTGATACTTTAAATGTTGATTCAGAAAGTAAAATTTGAAAGAAACACAAACATGGACATGAAAACAAAAATTCACAAGCTGCGCTTTAAAGAAGAATATGCAAAGTGGACATTTTAAGTTTTTCCAGGAGCTGAAATGTGGAGATCAGTGAGATGTGATGAAAGGATGAAACTGCATTTTAAACCTTCTGTTTTTATGCTTCATTTCTAATTTTCTGAAGATGAGGAAAAAAAATCTAAATTCATAATTATCAACCATAAATGTTGAAACACAGACCAAAAATGTCAAGTATACAAAAGTCATGGATCGCAAAACAAAAAATGTAAATATTAAAAAAAAAAAAAGAAATGTACCTGCTAAATAATAAACTAAATAAGAAAATACACCTTTGTTTTTCGCCGGGTTACGTTCTGAAAATAACCCTTGAGAGGTGAAATTCGTGAAATGGTTACCTTTATTTTTTTACAATTATTATACCGTGTAATTAAATACTCTACATTGAAACAAAAGAACAAAACCTGTTTTCAGGCCCAAGCATTTTTTAAACAAATATCACGCTTTCTTACAAATAACTACAGTAAAATAATCATTTTAATCATCAATACAAAGGACAGTAGGACAAATTGTGACTCGTGTATTTCACTGTGACGCCGCGGCCCGACTCCGCTCACACAGGTGAACTGCGTTAGTGAGGGTTCGCTGTATTTAATAAAACAAAATGTATTTGTTGTGGGCTGAATTGATTAGTTGATAAATGAAATAATCATCAACTAATTTAGTAATTGATTAATCGTTAATGTCAATTAACAATTAATGTGATTGTTTCGGCCTTACTTTTTATCATCAACTTTCAGAGTATTTAAGGAAAGTATTTGTTCTGGTGCACCAAATTACTGCTATTAAACATTCTCCTGAGGGCCCAGATGGACCCCAGTATCTGACTGGTCCAATCCCAGTGAGGATCCTGCTTCAGACTGAACGTAACTGTCTGTGTGCAAAGACAAACAGAGCAGCTGACTTCACTGCAGGTGAAAACGCTTTGCATGAGGGCCTTTACCGTGCAACATGCAAATACGGGAGCCATCCGTCCAGGGGACAGCCCTGCTTCTGAGGCTCCAGCCTGCTGCTGAGGAGAAGCCATGTTTACTCTGAGCAGGGCTAAAATCTGCTGCAGGCCTTAAAGGGCCAACAGCTGCAATCACAGGGACATTCAGAGCCACTTTATGAGCTCTTTTATTGGGTGATCTGAACAAGCAGAGCAGATTGTACCGACGGACCGGTGTGGATGTGCGCCGCCTCTGGACTCCTCAGCCGCTGCTCACCTGCAGGCCCAGCAGGGAAGTTCTTTAGGGAGGGCCTCTCCACCACAGTGTAGGAGTCCCCCACCACAAACACCTTGTACAGCACCGCGTTGTGGTTGATGAAGCTCTGGATCACACACGGCGGCTTCACGTCCTTCAAGTCCTCTTCGCTGAAGATAATGGCCATCTGAGGAGAGAGGAAAAATGTTGAACCTGAACCTACATCAGTGGGCTAATGGTTTATTAGATTAAAATTGGTTCCAATGTATTAACTGATAGCCTCAGCTACACCTTCTTTTAGTGGTGTAGTTTGGCCGCCATCCAGCAGAGGGCGCCGCTGGTCATCCTTAAGCGGAGCCAAATAGTTGAACAGAAACAAAGATGGCGGCCTCGTGAGAACGGTGAACAGTAACAGTCGAAAGAGTCCGGAGTGGGATTCAAATTGCACTGCATGCGGTTCTATTTGAAACTTAAACACGCAACAAGCTCAATACGTTTCAATTTAAAAGCGCTCCGTGATGACCTCGGAGGACAAGATGGCAGAAAAGTGGAGGAGATAACGGCCGAGAGCCGCCGCGAGCTAACGGCACTTCACGGAGCGAAGTTTTAACTTTCCTTCAAGAAAAACAACAGACTTTCTGTACAAACATCTCTGTTCACGGGGAGGTTCAAATATTTTATTGTTCTCATGTTTTATTCTTTAGTCGGTAACGTAAGAGGTTTCCGTTCTGTTATATTTTATGTTTAACAATGTGAGAGAACGAACATTTTCAGTATTTAGTAGAAGTAACAATGGCGGAGAAAAACCGAGAAACAACAAGGCGCCAGTAAGAAGGTTTGATTTTGAGGCCTGGTGGAGTTAAAACATTTCATGGAGGTTTAAACTTTAATTCAAGAGCAAAAACGGACAATTTGTTCATGTAGAATAACAAGTTTCACATATTTTATTGTTTTCAGAGTTGGGTAGTAACTGATTACATATACTTGAGTAACTATTTTGAAAAAAATACTTTTAGGAATATTTTTTCTCTGCTGTGCTTTTTCCTTTTACTTGATTAATTTTATTATGAAGTATCTCTGCTATTAGTTGAGTAAAATTTCTGTATTTTCTACACACAACATGAAAAACACGTTTTAAAAATTCACACCTGCAGTTTTTGTCAAATTTTATAAGTTTTTATTTAAATAAACTGGAAAACAATCTTTTGTCTGATTTTGTTGTTTCATAAATTATAGTAATTTTGGTCCATTTGATTGTGAAACTTTTAAACATGAAATGATTGATAATTTGATCAGTTACTCAGTACTGGAGTAAACTTTTGACCAAATACTTTTTACTTTTGAGTAATTTCTTGGACAGATAATTTTCACTTTTACCTTAATATAATTTTTGTGTTCTCATTTTTTTATTTTTCTATTCAGTAACCTAAGAGATTCCTGTTATATTTTATAAATATATTTAAATTTAATAAAGTGAGAATTTTTTTTTTCTGATTAGTCAGTATTTGATACACAAAATGTTTTTGTTTTGTTAAATTCAGTATATTATAAAAAGTATAACCCTTTATGATGTGGTATGATGGTCAGCTCTTTTCATGCAGGAGAAACATTAAGTTTTTAGGAAAATAGCCACTTATGAAGTAATCAATAGTTAAATTAATTAATTGATAACTTGCATCCCTGGTTTCCCATTCATCTCATTCTGGTGTTTGAACAGAGTTAATGGTCAATCCCAAGGTGATCCAGTATCGACAGGAAATAAAGCTTCTCACCTCATGGGAGTTGGTGCCATGAGCCACACGAGTCTTGCAAACTGTGGAGGAAATTTGGATGGTTAAAACTCAAACGGATCTCCAACGGAGTTCATACAAATTGTGGATAAAGGGTGGAGACTCACTGAAGGGGAATGTGAGACCCTGCAGCTTGAGCTGCTCCAGAACGTCCGGGGTGCACTCCGTGTTGAGGACCATGAACGGAGGAGAGCAAATCCTCTCATCTAACAAAACAGAAAGAGGGACATGAGGAAACAGATTATACCACAAAATGTAACCACAAACATTTAGCTGACTTCACCAAGCCAATGCCAGAGATAGAATGGATACATTTTTAGTACCTGAAGCTATAATTTGAGCAATTTAGCCTGTCATAAGAAAAAGAAATAGAGCTTTGTTCTTAAAAATTAGACTTTCTCCATAATAATCATTAATTTATAAATGTCAAGTCTCAAAATAAATATTTAATTAGCAAGTTAAATCAATTAAACAACTAGATAAACAGCTAAAGCAAAGTTAATATTTAGATTCAAACTTTTTAGTTTCAAACTGAATATCTAGTTTGAAATTAATAGGCAGCTAATTGGTTAGCAAGCTACATATTGAGGAGTGTAGACTTCATAGTTAGCTTCAACCTACATATTTAGTTAGAGTGCTAAATAGTTAGCTTCAAATTAACTTTTAAGCTTTGGCTTAAAACAATTACTGAGACACTAAAGATTGAGCTTAAATATTTAGTGAGCAAGCTGAATATGTAGCCTCAAACTACACAGGTAACTAGCAAATTATTTAGCTTGGAGCTAAATATTTAGTAGGAGGAATTACTTTTTAATGTTTCAATCATCAGCGAGGCGATGTCTCAATAATGTTAAGTGGAACTAAGGTTAACATCGCTAATGTCAGTGAAACATGGGACTGGAAAATCAAGTCCAGCAGCAGGAACAACTTTACAGTAGCATTAATGTTTGTGAAAACTGATCTCTGTCACACATGTCACTGCTCTCATCACTGCCCTTTGAAAAGCCTTTAGTATGCCTCTGGATTGAGCTGAAATAAACTTTAATCACATGTTTAGTTAAATAAACTCCAAAAAAAAAAAAAAACTCTATTGGTTTAGAACTTGGTGAGGTTTTGAAATGATCCATGTTTAATCAACGGAGATTTAAAAATTTATTCATTTTGTCACATGCATATCTTGCCTTATGAAGCTACACTTTCATTAGTAATTATTATATTAACTTCCCTTATTGTCCTATCAATGGCAGATGCTGTTAGTTTATTGCTTCTTATTTTTAGTCAGTCCTTAACAGAATAAATTTGTGATATTATTAATAATTAAACGTGATTAGCTGCAACAACCATTCAAATTCAGATGTCAGTTTTCAAAGTTTTTGCAAACAGAATTTAACTTCAGTTCCACTTTCTTCTCAAAGATATTTAAATATAAATATGAGTTTTAAAGTTATTTTATGTCTCTTTAAACATGTTTTGACATCAAAAATAAATAAAAACAACAAAAAATAGGTCTTTTTATAAGTTTTTAATGGTATATAAACATCAATTTTAATGTATTAAACTTATTAAAAGTAAAGATTTGAGATCAATAATAAACTAACGACTAATTACGTGAATGAAAATGACTGATTTCAGTCTTTTAGAAGGCGGTAGATTTGAAAAGTGTTATATAAATCTGATTAAATAATATTTATATTACATCAGTTGCAAAAATCGAGACTCTTCATTTTGTCACATTTTGCTTAGATGAAGCTAAACAAACTGTAAAATGAAATGCGGTGCTGAACTTGGGAAACATTTGAGACCAGAAGATAAAAATATTAAACCTAAAAAATTTTGATTGTAGCGAAATAGTTGTTCTGGCTTTTAGCTCATTAGAAATCAAATAAAACTTTGGAACATAAAACAGGCAAACTATGATTTCAAAAAAACAGGCTGCATTAAAGAAAAATCGAATCGGTTCACTTTTGCGTTTAAGTTTCTCCTATCTGGGTAAAAGCAACATAAAACTGAAGCAGAAACGATGTGAAAAATGTATCTCCTCCTCCAGAAAAACCAAAAATGATTTGACATTTCAACACCTGACTCATATGAAAGGCAGGTGAATCAGTCAAGCATGTGTTATTGTTTAAAATGTTTTCACCTTTAAACACACCAGTTTGTGACTGGAACACCCTGCGGTTGTGCAACCGTTTCGGGAGGAACTGCACGCCCGGCGCGCCGTCATTAAGAAGTCATCAACGCTCAGCCTCTTTCGGTCTTATCTCCAGCAGACGACAATAAAAGCCTGTTTACATCATGGCTTGCATCACTTCCTGCAGCGGAGAGCCCCCGGCCGGAGCGAACAGGATCCAGAGCGCTGCAGCTATCTGCTTGCGACGCGCGTTTTAAATTAGGTAAATATTAGCTCAGATGAAACCAAACAGCCTGGCCTGTTTTTATGCAACAGACAGCAGAAGCTGTGAAAAATGACTGTTTTTTTTTGTGATAATTACAACAGAATATTCAGGACAGACGCTGAGAAATTAGAAAAACGCCACATTGGCAGAATAAAGACGAAAAACAGATGTAAAATTAACTGAATAAAATTTTAATGAAAGCAAAGCTTAAATAGTTTAATCAGTGATATTAAGAATATTTTCTAATATTAATCCTTTATTCTCACAACTTCTTGAAGTGCAACTTTTTTTTTTTACCTTTTCTCCTGTTATGACTATTCTTGTGTGTCTGTCGCAATATTACGACTTTTCTCAGTGCTCCGACTTTATTCTTGCAATAATACGACTTTATTCTCATGCAGTGACGGCAGATTACGACAAAAACACAAATGAAGTTGTACGACTTTTTGTCAAACTGTTATGACTATTCTGGTAATACAATAATTATTCTATTTGTTATGACTTTTTCTCATAATGTTTAATTTAAACTTTATTCTCGTTTTATTTTGACATTATTCCCGTAAGGCTTTAATCTAGTCACATGGCTTTTATATTGTGATTTATTTATTTTTCTTAGCCTGGCATAGATAATAGAAAATACAAAAAAAGTTACACACAGTACAAGTCAAAAGTTTGTCTTGAATTTTAAAGGAAGCAGTGAAAAAGTAAGTACGCCCCCTGACTCATCAGGAAATTTGAGGCACACCTGTAACACAATAGAGAGGTGATGACCTTTGTGAGGTTTGAAGCCGGGGTCGTCCGGCTCTGGGGATTTAACTATACCACAGTCAGCAGAATCCCACTGAGCCGGAGAAGCTGCTGCAGAGGCGCGAGGGGAACCAGCAGCAGTTACTGGTTTGCATCATTTAAAAAGTAACGAGAATAAAAATAAAGAGATTCTGAAATTAGTCACATTTTACTGCTTTTTTTAAATTCCAGATTTTTTCATTAGTTTTTACAACATTCAGGACATCAGTGCACAAAACATTTATCTGTTATTATTATTATTTTCTCTGTTAATTTTTTTTATGTATTTTTATAAGTATCTGGGCTAAATTAAAAAATACTTGAATTAATCCTAGAGGAAAATCAAATGTTGTATTTTATATTATATAATTTCCTTCTGAGTTATTGTAGATGCCGGTGGCAGTCAGCTGATGAAAACAGATATAAAAGTCTAAATTAATGTAAAAAATATTTTATTTGCAATGACCTAATCTCTCTCTCTCTCTCTCTCTCTCTCACTCTCTGTCTTTCTCACTCTCTCTCTCTCTCTCTCTCTCTATATATATATATATATATATATTTGCCTTCTTTTGTGCATCTATATTAATCTCACTTTCACAGTGAATATGTGTGTAAGAAATACCAGTTTTTCCTATTCTTTTAATTAATTTTTTTGGGATATTTTCTAGAAACACCATGTAAATATTTAAAAACTGCTTTTAATCCCATGAAACACGTTGATATTAGGCAGATTTGTGTGCATAAAACCAGCATGAGACATATAACGGTGATCATATTAATGTTTTTCTTTTTTAAGAATATATTTTTAACAAGTGCACAAAAAAAAAAAAAACAAAAAGATGAGAAGTTGTTGAAATAAACTGCAGACAGTTAAAGCTCCATTTTATGACAAGTTCAGAGAAGAAGAATGACGCTCTGGACCCGGTTCTGATTCTGTTCAAAATGAGTTGGGAAAACTGCGGAGAGTCACGAATAACCGCTTGATGTTCCACAGACAAAACACCTGATGCTGCAGCGTCCACGTTGCATCAGTGTAAAGACACGTCAAACAGAGCCGTCACACGTCTGAAACCTTGTCAAACAGAAAGCGTTTCGGGTCCAGAGCCAACGATTGATGGTAAAGAAAGGAGGGAGCGGGAATGCTGTGCTCTGCCGGAGGATCAATCTGCGGTTCTGTCTAAACACCCAAAGCCTGGAGGAGACCCAACGGAGCCGAACAACTCAGTCACCAAACGTCTGTCAAACACCTGGAGGCGCGCTCAGACCTTCAGGCTGTTAGGAAACAATCACCTCATTTACTTTTTATTTTGCTTTCAAGCTCGCTCACAAAAACACCCTCTAAAAACGTCCTCCTTTCCAAGAACCCGGACTCCGCTCGAAATTATGCAAAATAGGGAAATCCATCACATTTCTGCTATTTTACCAAATCTTACAGTAAAACTAATTTATCAAACAATGAGGGACAACAGAGTTTCCATCTCATAAACAGCTGCTTTGATGCATCCGATTAGACTTAAAAACACAAAATCTCACCAAGTGTTTCTGGCTTTCAGTGCAAACATCTTAGTACACTTGAAATAAGACAAACTAACTTACAAGTAACTTCTCAATGGGGAGAAAATTCTTCCTGAAAATTAAAAAAAGAACTAAACTTAACTTATAAAAAGACATTTTTCATGTTATGAGTGAAATAGCCTTCCAAAAGAAGTAATGCTTTTTCATCAATTTTAAGGAGTTTTTACTTAAACAGCCTCTTATATTGCACAAAAGTTACTAATGAGTTAGCTTGGTCTTTTTTCAAGTGTATTAAGATATTTGTAGTAGAAACTGGACCAAGAATACTTGGTAAGGTTTTGTTTTTGCAGTGCATTTCAGGTGGAGATCATCAGGATTCAGGAATACTTGTAAAAATTAAGCTTCTTATTTGTTTGTATCACCTTTTAGCCTTTATTGCCTTTTATTTCTATAATCTCTGGTTAACTTCCGGTTGTTTGGTTCAATGCTTTTATTTTGACAGGACAACTTCTGCTTTATGCATTAAGGTTGGCAGCTTAGCGAAAACAAGTTGTAACAGAATTTATAAAATTGAGCTTGATGGTAGGATGGTTTTAATATTGAATATTTGTTTTATTATATATAAAAACTAGAGTAGTTCTGAGACTATAGCCAATAGTTTTAATTGTAAATGTTATTTCTAAGCTACAAACATTACAGTTGTAAGAGGAAACATAAACAGGAACCTTCTCTGGCTCGGCGAGGAAACTTTAAACGCTATTAAGTTCAAATTTACAGTAAGGAGCTTCTTGAGTGTTTCCAAACAAAACCGCTTCTGGTGTATTTTTCATCTCACACCGTTTCTCTTTAGCGTCTTTAGCCACCATCTTTACATCAACGTTCAGCTCCTTCATGATGACCAGCAGCGCCATCTGCTGGATGGCGGTCAGCCACAACGATAAAGTAATATGTAACAGACGCTATTAGTTAACTGATTGGACCCGGTTTTAATGTAATAAGCCATTAAATTGACGATTGTTGACGACTGCTTCCCTCTGGAGATGAGGGAATCCTCCTTTTAGGCCTGGGTTGCCAGGGCAGCCGCTTAAGGACTCCAGAACCCAGTTCAAGCCCAGTTCATCACAAACATAACGACCAAAATCCTCTGACATGGCTGTGATCCACTGAAACCAGCCGGCGACAGTGAGACAGAACGGTGCAGCTCGGCTCCGTTATGAAACAAGCCATTGCTGTTTCTGTTTAGACAGAGAGAAAAAACAACAAAGAAACGGCTCCTCATCTTCTTCTCCTCCTGCTTCTATTTTAGGAACACTGAGACACATCCGACCTGCCGATCCAATGCTCCGACTCCAGCCAGCAGCCCCTTGCTCTCAACCAATTATTTAAAGGTTTACACTCCCTGCCTTATACGGAGGTGACGGGATGCGATTTCCCACCGGGGAATGTGGCCCCTGTCGTCAGCGACCCGCAGGCTAAAACACACTTTATGGGCTGATCGGGAAACGAACGACTCCGAGCCCAGTTTACAACTTCAGAGGTTCTCATGTAAACAAGGAGAGGAGTTATGGGTTCGGAATTAAAAAGCAGAAACCGAGCCAGAAGGGACGGGGTTTTAACAGCAAACTCTGCACGAATCCACAGGAACAGAAATGTTTTGGTTTAACAGAGGACAGAAACTGGGAAACAAATTTCCTTCACTGATGGACACCAACTGAAAAGCCCATGTGATAAATATCAGTAGATGTAATATTCAACAATTTCACTGAACTCCGATCCAGAACCGCACAGATCTCTAACATTGTTATGTTAATTAAAGGAAAGCGGACATCTTCAGAAAACCTTGTGAAGATGTCGGCTCAAGCAAATCCAGAGGCAACATGAAAAGCCAAATTTGGAAATGCACTCTGGAACGAAAAATCTGACCCAGTCACACCAGTTCTCCCAGTTCTGTCACAAAAGCATACCAGAAAAAATTCCACAAAAACCAAAACAAATCACACGGTTTTGCCACACGGTAAGAAAACGTGAACAAATGTTTAAATCTGAAGTCAGAAGAATCTAAATAAATATCTCCCACCATTATATATATATATATATATATATATATACACACATATTTCCCCCCCAAAAAAAATAATTCTGACTTTAACCAGACAGGCAATGTGATTGATTATGATTGATTGATTATGATTGATTGATTATGAAACTGCAAAATTACAATCCCTCTGTAAAGGAAAAACTTGATCAAATCCAACATGCTCCTCCTTCCTTAATTCCTTAAAATAATTTACTTGTCCAACAATTCAACAAAACTCTCTCTTCCGTCCTGATTATGCAGCAACAAACGATTCTTCCGCCAATCAGCAGCGCTCTGACCTTGCATACACTTTTCTATCCTGTGGACGAGCTGGTAAGACTTGCAGCGGTCCAGCAGGGTTCGGATGGCAGGGAGAGGGTCCAGGACGATGGTCTCAGGGTGTGCGTCAATGTAGTCCTGTAAACGGAGATGGAAATAAAAACATCTGGGCTCATTTACAGGTTTTTAAAACATTTGTGATCCAAGAGAATCAGGTTTTAAAGTATAGTGGCAGGGGCTAATGTTCATGCCGTAAGACCACGTCACAGAAATTCTTCCTAAACCGATGATTGACAAGTTTTATGACCATGACGAGTTTGCAGCTCCTCTCTGTGTGCTTCGATGTTCTCTAGATAACCGGATAAGAAAATGGCAGTGAACGAAGACTCATGACAGCCTGGTTACGGTCAGGTTTAAACACTTTTCCCACAGTAAAACTCAAGCATTTTCAAGGTAGCTCTTTAAATCTTCTGAGCACCACACTTTGGAGATAAAAACGAAGCAAATAAACTAAAATAAGACAGTTTCACGTTCCTCTGGCATCATTTATTACTCTATTTTACATTCAGGGTAAACAAAAATATCACAAAAATATATCAACAAACAAGCAATTATCACAAATATCACAAAATGTAAAGTTTTGAAATGTCTCTCACTTACACACCAACAATTTCAATTATCAATAAGTCATTGAGCCATTAGGAAAAAACAAATATTTATTACACTGAACTAATTCAAACAAATCATGTTAAAATACCTTCTTTTCAAATTAAATGCATATAAAGAAAGTTACAAAAAATCTCTAAAACGTGCCAAGTTTTCTGACATTTAGCAAATGTGAATAATTTTGGTAATTTTAACTGACCTAAAATTTAAAAAATGATCCGACTTAACTTCAGAATGAGAAAAAGGCTTTTTATTCGTTGTATGAAATGATCTTGTTTCAAATGTAAAGAATGTTCTCAAATTTATTTCTTAAATCCATCGTTAGATTACACTTTATTACAAAAACGACCAACACTGTCAAGGACTTCAAACAGAATTCAAGCACTTTCCAAACCTTGAAAACGCCAATTTGAAATTCAAACATTTTCAGGGATTTGAAGAGAATTGTAATTAAAGTTGTCGAGAGAACAGGAGGTTTCTGAATCCTGAAAACTATAATTTTCGACTTTTACTTGAAGTCTTAACATTTCATGTTTGTTCACCTCCAATGTTTTCACTACTCCGTCCCCAACCTGCTGCCGATTTGCTTTTCTACCACAAGCAAAAACCACGAGCCGACTTTCCGTTCACACGTCTCCGTCCCCACAAAGCCAAACCAGAGCGTGGCCGCGGCTCGGTCTGCGCTCGGCGCATCGCTCGATGCTCGCCGGCGGCTCTGTGGCGGTTACATCACTGCGTGTCTGTCTGCCGGCTGCTCGGTCAGCATGAGGTCGCCTGCTTTACATAACCACACGCTCTTTCTCCACTCCTGCCGTCAGTTTGTGACTCTGCAAACTCTCTCCACACCCAACAACCCCCCCTCCGTGTTCAACAGATCCGTCTGCTTGGTGGGACCTCAGAATCTATATTGGGGCGGAAACGATTAATCGGGTTAGTCGTGATTAATCGGTTATTGAAATAATTGTCAACTAATTTACTAAAAGATTAACCGTTCTCTGGAGTATACGGTCTTTAAAAAGGCCCTTTATTGAAAGAACAACATATAATTAATAATTATTATAATAATTAAGCCAAAAGTAGCTAAAGCAATGCCATATTATTGAATTTTAGGCAATAAAATGTTTATTTTCTTATTTAAATAAGGACCTTGAGTTTATCAGCATCCTTTCATGTATGTCTAACATAATATAGATTTAAATAAAAAATCTGCAGAATGTGCCATTTCTTTTTTCTTTGTTTAAAAGATTTTTTTTACAGGGTTTGAACGAGGTGAAGCTAAAACTGTACCACTTGAGGAGATCTTGGTAAAAACCTGTTTTTTTGTTGTGTTTTTTATCTCAAATGTAAAATGCAGGGTTTCCCCCAGTGTATTATAAGCCTGGCGGGCCTCCAGGCTATACTTGTTCCCCCACCAGGCTAAGCATTGTTAAATAAGTTTTTTTTTTTTTTAATGCTTCCATTTTTTCAGACTGTATAATCGGTGTTCAGGTATTAATCTTCCAATCTTTCAATAACACATGATTATCAAGTGATATTTTTAAATTTCCTGTCAAATTTAAACATGACTCAAAAGCATGATGAATGAATCACCAAACTTAGTAAGTTTTCAGTGAGAAAGCTTGAAAATGTGAATATATTTTGTACAATTTTGGCCTAATTACTACTCTGAACGCGTTGTTCTTTTTGATTCCAGTTAACTATTAATCAATTATTAAACTCGTCCACAATTATTTCAATCATCAATTCAACACGATGAATCGTTTCAGCCCTAATGCCATACAAGTCCAAGACGCTGAAACTCATCAGACCTTCTATTTTCTTCTGAGACTCAGAAGAAAAACAGAGGAGAGCAGAGGGGGAGAAAAGGCTCTTCAGCAGGTGCTGCAGGAGAGAAGCAGCCAGACGTATGTCAGCGTGGGCGTAGGAGAGGCCTGCACATGTTGCTCTGTTCTGGAGCAAATCTCCTCACTGGAGATCAGTCTAACACATAAAATACATCCAGGCATATTTCTGCATTTACATCAACTGACTCCAAATGGGTTGGTTTTACTTCAGGCTGTAAATCCACCAGAACACAGTTACTGTTTGTAGAGACCGGGTTCGGTTCTTCCACCAGCTCCAGAGAAATATTCTGCATTTATTTTGCAACACGGAGCGCAGCTCTAACCTCTGAGTCACCGCAGAGGAACCAAGCATGACATTTTGTTTCAACTAAAGAGCTGTAACAGAGAGGAATGCTTCTTCCTCTGCAGCACAAAGATTCATTAGCATAACAGCAGCATAATAAGAAGGAAGGAGCTTATAATTCACAGAGATCTGTAAACACAGAGGAAACCCAGAATTCGTTTAACTCGACCTGTTCTGCTCTCAGAAATACCTTTTAACAAAATCTACTCAGATGAGTCAAAACATTATGGCTATGTTTTGGGGGTTTTTTATTTTACCAAAATGCGACTCATATTCAACAGCACAGTTCCAGAAGTCTGGTCAACTGGTTTTACTGCTGAATAGAATAGAATAGACCTTATTGATCCCCAAGGGGAAATTGCTTGTTTGTTGAAAGCTATTTCATCTTAGGTGATAAATAGAAAGTTTGTAAACTATATATATACCTAAGAGTGAATAATAAAGAGGGAATAGCTCTAAATGACTAGATATAAACATATAAATAAATAAGCAATCACATGCAATATATTCTTCAATAAATAACCTATAAATGAGCGCAGAAAAAATGTTGAATCAAATAACACAGACTTGGGCATTGACAAGCGTTTTGTTGTTGACTTTTCATCCAGAAACCACTTGCTGCACTCTTGTTAGTTGTGCTGGAGGTTCAACTAATGCTTTTCAAAGTTGTACAGTTGTATATTTGCGCATGAGTTGGCAGCCATTTTCACATGTGAGTGTAAATGCTGAGTTGCAGGGCGTGGCCAGCAGTAGCTTTAGATTTAAAGTGGCAAAATAAGCAAACCTGACCAGACTAAAATCTTATAATGTAAGGATTATTTTGTGCAAAAACTTTAATTAACATAACAATGTTAGAGATCTATCCTAATCTGTTAAAGGAAGGATAAATATCCCACCGACTAGCAGGTGCCATGATGGAGAGTTGATTTATGATATTTACCTGTCAGTGGTCATAATGTTATGCCTTATTTGGCTATTTGGGCATAACTAAGCTTTATATTCTCCTTGAGTACCACTTGTACCAGAACTACAGAATGCCGCGCCCCAGCATCAGGAGAACCATTAACATGCCGCCGATCACCATCCCAGTTTCTATGAATCCGCCGGAGTGACCGGGTCAAAGTCAGAGCAATAAATTCATTTCACACCATCTGCTGCTCTGCCAGCTTCACAAACACAAACAGCAGCAGATCGCTTCCCCGTGGGAGGATCCTCACCTCGGATTTCCAGGTGCCGAAGTTCAGCCGATGACGTTCCTGATTCCCTGAACTGGGACCAGTTTCAGATGAAAATATGAACCTCATAAACGTTTACTGTCTCTGGCAACAAACAGAATACAGATACGGACCGGCAGCAAATCTCTCTGACTGCTGCCGGGTCTCATGACCCTTAGAGGTCGCCACATACTGGGCTGAGTTGTTTGGATTTATAATGGCTCAGTTAAAGCACAGTGTTATATAATCGGAGTGTTCACAGCCTCAGAAGAACTGATTCTTTGGAAAGGGGTGGGAATGTATCGCATTGTTTTATTGTGAAAATGTTCGTATCCTGCCACATTAAATTTGAATTAGTGATAAAAAAAGAAAACTGACAGCAGAGAAAATTACAAAAATAACATCTCAAATCATACCGTTTGCTCCACAAATCAATAAATATCAGCAAATTCAAAATCTGATGAAATGTGTAAAATAGAGCGATATAAATAACACTTTCTTAAGTAAGTGGCATCCTGAAGAAGCCTGTTTATCATGGAAATGTTTTTCAACACGTTATTTTTATTTATGGTGCTATGAAAGCTGATCCATGCAGTCACAGCCAGTTACATGAAAAAAGTAATAATTTTATCAAATTAAGATCTTTATCACAGAGGAGTCCAAACGTTTTGCAAACTGGGCCAAAAATCCAAACCCAAAATCAAGCAAATAAAGTAACTCGATATTTATTGTAAATCCAAAACCTGAAAGGGATTTTTATGGAAGTGTATAAGTGTAGAAAGAAAAAAGGTGTAAATTTCCTCCAAAAAATCTAAAAGAAATTTGACATTTGAAATTCACAAATTTTCTACTTTGTTTTTCTAAACATTTTTTTTCTAGCAAATTTCCTGTTTTTTTTCTAGAAATACCTGTACTCTCTGGACCTGCAGCACGGCTTGTGAATCGTTCTGGTCCGCTTCCAGAATGAGGTCGGTCAGTTTGTGGATGATGAGGTCCAGCGGACCCTGGTCCTCCAGAGGCTGGCTGAGGTCCAGCTGAAGGCGGAACAAAACACAAACAAACACCTCTGATCAAAACAAGTCCTCCAAGCTGCTACTTTCAAAAGGTGTTGCGTTTAGGACTAAGAAACAAACTGAAACCATTTAGTAGAGTTCAATCGATTAATCCCGATTAATCGATTACTGAAGTATCATCAACTCAAAAACTAATAGTTTTTTTGAGGCCCTTTGCTAAATAAAAAACAAAACAAAAGAACAAGTTTTGACAATATTATGCAAAAAATGTGGACATTTTGCATTTAAGATTAAAAAATATTCATCTGTAAAGAGTTTTATTATTATTCAACTGAAATAATGTCATGTTACATTTTAGACAATGAAATGTTTACTTATTTATAAAAGAAATTGAATTGTTTATGTGCACGTTTTAAGGTATTCTAATACTGGCACAGAATATCAAATTAATCGTCATTTATTTTCTTATTTCAATTATTTTAATTATTTGTTCATTTATAAATACACAAAATTATTTTTTATCCGATTAAATGTCAGAATAACTGATAACATAATCGCTCACTAAAATAATTGTTAATTGCAGCACTAGTATAAATTGATTAATTCAGTCAGTAGAATTGATTTATTTTCATTGTTTCTCATGAAGCATCCTCCAGTTACACTGGTTAGATTTGACCACCTATACATCGTTCTTCTGCAGAAACTGGGAACATGAAGGAGGGATTGTGGGAGTCTGGAGCGAAGAGCAAAACTCAAAACCTTTTCAGCAGAAATAGCAGATTTTTTTTTTTTAAAGCTGTGCTGATATTTATACAGTTTCCATCAGACACGGTGTTGAGGAACGAGCCAACGCCAACCAGGACCGAGACTGAAGCAGCAAGTCTTCATCAGGCTGCAGTTAATGCATCGCAGTAAATATGAATATAAAACTGAATTTAAGTATCAAATGTCTGTTATATCAACATTATTGACATTTCACAGCTTTAACTGGCTTTTCTGCCCACAGCCGAGATAAATCTGACGTCAGAAAGAGCGGTGGGAGGACACAAGGGAAGGAAGTGTGGAATAAATGTAACTAATTTCATCATCATTATAGTATTTGGAATTAATATCTAAAATGCAGCTTCTTCCTAACGTCATAAAGCCTCCAGTGATGAACAAGTAAAACCAGCAGGAGAGATTACTGGGAGTAGAAGCTGCAACAAGGGCAAAATAGCTTAAAAATAAAATATCAGCTTGTTTTCATACAATTGACTTCCAATTGTAATAGATTTATTTTCTGACAAATATATAAATGACAAGAAATATATTTAAAAAAAACAATTTTTGTAATTTGAGAATTTGTTTAATGACAAGAATATAGTCAATATATTAGCAGAATAAAGATGTGATTTTACCAGAAGAGTCTTAAAATTAAAAGTACATTTATAAGAAAGGTGGTTTTAATTAAAACTTGGATAAATAATGTAATTTTTTATGTTAGTGTTCTCATAGAATTACAACTTCATTCTGCTTATTATAATGACTTTATTCTGTTGATATTAGTAAACTCGTATTATTTCAACTTTATAATCATGTGACTTTATTCTCATATTTGTGCAAATGCATTCTTGCAACATATTGACTTTATTCTACTAAAAAAATTAAAATAAATCCTTGCCTTATATTTTATCACAGAGCTGATTTGAATGCAAAGTCCAATTAAAAAGAAGCTGTAAAAGATGTTTGTCAAACAAGATGGCCGCCTCGGCCCCCGAGGAGTGCAATGGTGGAAAAAAATTAATAATAAAAATAATCCAGGTTTTCAAAGAATTCTGAAACCAAAAATGGAGGGATTGCAACTAGAGCAAACAAGTTTGAAAAGTATCTCACCCTCTTTGTAAAACCTGCAAATATTTTTGCATTTCTACTTTAAAATCCAAAACAAACATTCCTGCAGTGTCAGTTTGTCTTTAACCTGATCACCTGTTTCATAAGACATGTTTACTTGTTGTATTTTAAGTCTAGAAAGTATGAATCGCAGAGCTGTAAATATGCTACAGCTGTTTCTATAACTATCTGTTAAAAGCCTCCCAGCCACCCTCTGGCTGATCCTACAGGGCTTATTCAAAGGAAACAAGAAAACACCTCATTAGCATTCCCATGAAGCCGAGCAGTGCAGAAAGGCTGCCTGAACACACCAAGCAGTGAAGAAGCAGTACACCAGGAGAGGCAGATTTAACAAACCGAGGGAATAGGAAGCACACGTTATGTAACACACGTAGAAACAGGAAGGACAGGCTGAGGCCTCCGCTGATGCATAACTGGAGTCTCCCTAACTAAAGTTTGTTTTACGTACGCCTCAGAAAACTGGGAGTTCACAGAAAGTAAGCTAGTTTATTTATGCAACTGCACATAATCAGCTAGGAGGCCCGGCGGATCATTAGCGAACGAGAACAACGGAGCCACACCTGTGCAAACAGGCCAGAGAGCAGCAGAACCCGGCTGTTCTTTGTCCCGTTCTGACTCTGAGTCAGCTGATGGTGAATACACCTTTGTCACACAGGTGTGGATCAATGAAAGAGCTGTAAACCTGTAAAGTTCCAGTTGGCTTAGGGACAAGCACAGCCAGCGCTGGTTAATGATTGTGAGAGGTGTGAGGGATAGGTGACTGATTACAGTCAGAGTCCGACCCGAGACTGAAAGGCTGCAAAGTGATTCTTCAATCGCTGTGTACAGTAACTGTATATCTGGGGTGTATGGAGACTTTCAACATATGTTTTGTAACGTCTGACTGTTTCGTTATCTCACTTGATAACAGATAGAAACTAGCTTAAACTAAATCTGCCGCGAGGAATCTTTTATTAACATTTTTCCACATTGTCCTTGTTTAAAATGTCTTAATGTCAACTGAAATCTGACTTTGTAGAAAGTAAAAACTGGAAATTGGGCTAAGGTATGCAACGATTAATTGTGATTAATCTAAAATTAAAATAACTGTCAACTAATTTAGTAATCAATTAAATGCTAACTGTCATATACAGATAAAAAATATTTTATAAAAGAACAACATAGCAGTCAAAACCGTACAAAACATTTGCAGTTTATGGGTGCAACTAACAATTATTTTTGATTATTCTGATGATTAATCGAATAAATAGTCACATCTGATGATTTTTTATTTAAACCCTTTACTTTATTTTATGCAAGATTCAACACATTAGAATAAATCATCATTCCTTTTTATATAAGAACAGTCAGCTTTTATTGTCAAAATGCAGCATAGCGTAGCTTTAATGTACGCCTGATTAATTGTAGCAACAGAAAACCCAGAGAACATTTGTTACTAAACGCGTTATTGTCGTAAATTTTTCTTTAAAATCTAATCAGTGGGTTATGTTTCAACACGAGCAGACATGTCCGAACAGTTTTACGCTGACCCAATTTCCCAGACTGCTTATTATGTTACATTATCTTGTGGTTTCTTTCTGTTTCAAAGGTGTTCGGTTTCGTTCCCTCTGCCTGCAGAAACACGCCGGCGGGCCAAAGTAGCATGCAGACAACTGTTGCAGAAACTCACAGATATACTGAAGTTATTATGTCAGTCAGTGACAAACAAACCTTAATGGGGCATTTAACCCTGAAGCCAACTTATACTGGGGAAGTCGCCAAATACAGTAAAACAATGCAGTAAGCACCAAATATTACAATTAAACAGGAGAACCTGGACAAACATAAGTTGCATAACAACTAAATAAATGATTACATATCAGATCATAAAGCTCCTCCTTGTTGAACCCAGTCAGCACTTTTCTGTCTCTACAGATACATTGATTTGTGCTGAACGGACAACATTCAGCATGAAGCTTCCAACATTATTTATCTCAACTCGACACCAGAGTATCGAGAAGCTGCAGAAATGAAAATAAAACTTCTAAATGTGCATAAAAAATGCTTAAGTGGTAAAATAAAATAAAAAATTACATCAATTTATTTTATTTTGATTATCCGTTTAATCAATAGAATAATTGATTACTAAAATAATCACTAGTTGTCGCTAAAAAATGTATTTTTTGTACAGTTTTGGAATTATTACTGCTCCAAGTATGTTGTTCTTTTTGCAAATAGATTTTTTTTTCATTTGTAAACTCCAGTTAATGATTAATTGATGACTAAATTATTTGACAATTATTTCAATAATTGATCCATCATGACTAATTGGATTAATCGTTTTATTTGGTCCAGTTTTTACATCATTCAAAATCAAATTTCAATTTGTCTGCATCTAAACACTGCATTTGGTTTGTTTCTTGTCTAATATTTACAGTTCGAACCAGAATTTTAATTGATAAAATAATTGATCACCAAAATAATCAGTTGCAGCTCTAAAATGTATATATTTTTTGTACAGTTTTGACAATTATCTGCAAATGGCATTCTTTTGAATCTATAAAGTCCAGTTAACAAGTAATCGGTTCCTAATTAGTTGACAATTATTTCAATAATCGATTAATCACGATTATCTATCATTAGTAGCCTCATCCTTAAACTTAGGAAACAGTTTCTTCATCCTTCAAAATCAGATTTTAAATAAATTTAAATTAAATTAATTTAAAAACTGCCTTTTGGTTTTTTCTTGTCTAATATTTATAGTTGAAACCAGAAGTTTCAAACATTCTTTGAATTTTTTTTTTTTAATCTCAATTAAATCAGACCAAACTTCTTGTTTTAGGTCTGCTAAAATCATCAAAATTATTTGGATTCGATAAAATCTCACAATGACAGAAAGAATATGTCAGAGATTTATTTATAAATGTCTTTATTCAGATGTTATGTACGTTTCCTCAGAAAAGGTTAAATGTTTTGGGGTTTCTTTTCTTAACCTTCTCACTTTAGTTTGCTGGAGTTTTTCTCATTCCTCTTGACTGAACTGAGTAACTGCATGCGGTTTGTAGGCCGCCTCACTCACATATCCAGATTACTTTCTAGATTTGAACTCAGAGATTTACGATCGTCACGCCTAAACATTCCCTCGATTATTC